GACAGTGGGGAGACAAGGAGAGAGGCCTCACTAATGAAAGCTCTAATCCATCACCTAAAATACCAGGACTACCTATATTTACTTGATATAAAAACATTATTTTCTACAGAAATGATATGTTGGAGTTATGGAAATCTGCTCTACAAAAATATGTTTTTATTCAGTTTGAAAATGATTAAACAGGTCTTAAAATGCACGAGTTTTAAACACTAAAGGGATGTTAAATTTATTCATGATTAGCCTCTTTCCCTCTTTTTAAACTACATAAGGAATTGCGTCCCATTAAAAGCTTGCAAGGGCCTTTTCCTCGGAAGATGTCCAAATCCAAGTAACAAACAAGTAAAAAACAAGTATAAGGTCCCCACCCTCTGGCACGTTAGTAAGAGTTGTTAAGTACTAGGTCCACACCCTCGGGCACGTTAGTAAGAGATGTTAATTACTAGGTCCCCACCCTCCGGCACGTAAGTAAGAGTGCCGTCACTTTAACTACGATGTGTTTATCGGAAGACAGACTAATCGCTAATATAGTATCTACTTTCGCGTGTTATGTACACGTAATCTAAGGCTATTTTCTTTACTGTTTGTACAAGAGCTCATATTCATAACTCAGAATGTAAAATATGACAATGTATTTATTCTATGATTCACGATTATAGCCTTTCGACATTCAGACCTGAGGCATTTGTCTAAGACAGGATTACGTGAGTTAGTGTTATCCACCCCGGGTGTCACGCTATCGGCCTGTCCATCAGTAGTTCAACAGGGCCGACTGGTCTATGTCCATCCATTAATTTGACCACAATATCATGTCAGAATTACAGCTAATCGGGACAGGCGATCAGATAAGGAACAATGATATCTAAATACTGGACTGGACTTCTTCATGAAACATTGTTACCAGCTATATCGTTGATGCAGTATATCTTGTGTTATTGTTGCTGTCAGAGACGTTATATATGTGTAATCTTTACACTTTCTGACGTCACCTCATGTTATGTATCTACTGTGACATATCATCGCTTCAATCATTTTCAAAAATCGTTTTATTTATTAGGTTTTGATAAAATTTTCTATATGGTTAAATGGTGACATTAAGACATAATAGGTAACAGTGTACCCTTATAACAATATAAAAAAACTACATATTTCTGTGTACACGTCTGTGTTTGTAGACAACGTTGGAAAAAGTATAAACTATTTTAGTCTATAATGGAGGATGGAGAATTTATTTTTATCCTTCTTCACTAAAAGGACACCGCGTATCGGAAAATGCTTGTCGGAATAAAAATCCTTGTCGGCTATAGCAATAATGCCGTCTCGGAAAACGAAAACGTATATTTTCCTTTATCATCACGTTAATTCAGTGAATAATAGCATAAATATATCACACTTTCAAAATGGGGAGTTTTCATGGCGAAAATCTTGTGAAGTTGTACGTCACTAAATGCTGTGTAAACGGGACGTCCATGTGTTACAGTCATGTTTTGTCTATAAATTACTATACAATCACTAGACATCAGTGTGTCCACATTCCATTCATTACAAATTTAACCCACTTATCGCCTATCCTAGACTTGTAGGTTTTATAATTTCATCATTTTCATGGAAGTAAATTAAGTTGACACTTTAGACAGGTCTCGTGGAGGTAGACAAGCAATCCCACAGTTGGGTCTTTTCTGGACTGTGACATAAGCATAATTAACGCCCTTATTCGATTCCACTTCTGAGATTCCCTTCATGGAGAGCACGTCACGTGACTTTTAGGCACGCGTTACTTATGGAATGTTTCATACGGTCAAACAGAGAAAGTGAGAGAAACAGACAAGACATTTTTATGAATAAAATAAAGTATAATCAAACTCATATACAGTTAATAAAAATAACTTAATCTCTGATTTGGCAAACGTATTTTGAAAATTTAATTGTTTACCTAGCCCCAAGCTTACCCCTTTAGTGTGTCGTTGACATGTGGTGTTTGTGAATCTGTTACAAGTGCCACACCCCCGGGCACACACACGTGACGCTTTGTAGATCGCGAGCTTATCTTTCTCTGTCCCATCAAAGTTCCGAAAGGAGCGCACGCCATTTAGCGCGATTTCGGGTCTCTCTATAGACGTTTTATGGCGGTAATAACAAAGAAATCGGTTACGTATATAAACTCGTACATAAAACATCGATTATCTGATAGATGGAACAACTTATCCTACGGCAATAGTTCTCTTTTATATGGTTGAATTTGGACTAGAAATTCCAGGAAAAATTGTGAAAGAAATGAAACCAATCCAAATCTACATTTTCCGATATTTAAATTCTAAACTTTAAAGATGAATGCTGAAGTAAACACATATTATTGATAACAAACAAAACTGATGTTGATTTTAAAACATTTATTTTTGCTGAAGATACAACATAACCTAAAATATTCACTTGTTTAAAAACATTGGTCCCTTTTGACTCTTCTATTATTGGTCCTTTAGTGAAATATCTCAAGTTTTGACAGAGGCTTAAGTCTGTCTTATAACAAAGGTAAGCTTTGGAGGACAAACAGTGAAAAACATCAAAAATAATCTGACAAATTCATGATTCAGTATCTTAAAGAACAAAATCTGAAATGTTTTCAACTTCTAAAACATTAAGCTACAATATTTGTACATTTGTATATACTTTTAATTCATGGAGAATGACCATGTTCATCATTTTGAAATTCAACTTTCTTTGTTGTTTGGAACTCAACTTCTACATGGCAAATAAAGGCCCTTATCTAACAGGAACTTGATCAAATCATGGATTCCATAGATTATGTCTGATTAAATCAGACTTACTACCAGCACTGCCTCAAGCTAAACAGTCCACTGGTCAATAACAGATCTTACCTTCATGTGATAGTACATGGTACATGGGTCACTACAACTTGTAGTTAGAAATAAGGCTTTGGCAGTAGTAGTGTATAAACACTTCCCCTATCAAGCTTGATAGGACAAGATATTTTATTGTGTTAAAACATACATATTATAATGCCACATGGACTTAAGTTAACACTATACCTTTATTATGGCCTTTCTCAAGATGCACATAAAATATCTTGCAGTTTTTACAAGACGGGCGACACATTTTTTCTATTTTACATAAAATTAAATGAAATCAAGAGAGCTTAATGAGAAAAGGTGGGGAAATAACAGAAGTCAAACATCCTTTTGATTTTCTTTTTTACATAATTAGAAACTTTCTATAAGAAAAAAAAGAGAAGAGAAAAATCGTTTTGGAAAAAAAAAACCAACTTGATGAAATAAACATCTCTGACTGACCTCTCCTACATACATTCTCGTCTTTGTCAATAGTTATACATCAGCTCACATGTAGTAGCAGGGTTACTCCAGTATTGATATATTCTAAATTAAATAAATTATATATTAACATTTTAATTCAGATTACTATCAAGTAATAATCAGAAATACAAATGTTTCAGAATATAAATAGCATAAATTACTTAATTTAATTATACAAGATAAATCATTTCTCTTTAAATATCTGTACAATGGTACAAAGCAGGAGTATCCAATGACAGGGTTGCCAATTCAGTAGTCCGCAATATTAACCACACTCCCTCATATACTGGGCAGGTCACCCATACATAATATTCAATGTATAGAGATTTTTTCCAATTTGTAAAGTCACATGTGAAAATAATGACAACTCATTAGAACTATTTTTTTTCAAGTCAAGAAAAGAGATAACAAAACATTTGCCGACAAAAATGATAATTATGAAATGAAATTACTGTACATCATGACACCTTCTCCACAATCAAGGTAATCTGCCTGATGAGACTGATTACCTGTAACTGTAGATGGTCTTAAACCCCTCCACTAGATCTGTAGTAGAAAACCTGCCCATCCTCTCCCAAGCTTTCACAGCTTCCGTTCTGACTAGTGCTAATACATTGACAGGCAGTTACACAAACTCACACAATGAAGTTAATAGTTACTTCAGTGCAGACTCTTTTTATCTCAATTAAAACAATCACACATATAGACACTCATATAAAAAAATATAGATATGTTGAACTAAAGCATCAATGAAAATATTGACAAGTTCATTCTGGATTTACACCACTTTCCTATATGTACTATGTCTAATTCAATACTCCACATTTTTGTCTATTATTACATTTCTTGTATTGCACATCAACTTAAAATGATCCAAAACATATTACAATATAACAGACATGTTTTCTTAATTGGTAAAGCATCATAGCAGTGATTTCTCCTTTTGTCACAAAGAGAGGATCTTTCAAACTACTAGCATTGTTATGTCTTTATTAAATTGAAAATGAATCAAGATGGTGGACCATTCCTGAAATATTACGAATTTGAGGTTGCAAAACCCATCTGAAATGGTATCCCACACAAGAACTATGATCCTAACATCTTGCCTTTATCAATTCTGTTGAATTTGCCTGAAAAATTGTTAGGAATTAAGAACGAAGTACATGTATAAAGTTAATGAACACATTGGTTTATTTTGATACAAATTATAACTTGTTAAGTCTTCTACTTCCACAAACATAAAAACTATGGGCAGTATCAGCCAGAGATCAAACTATATATTAAAAGAACACATTGGTGGGAAGTGGAAACATTACTTTGTAACGAGGCATGTTAACCCTTTCATCACATTACAGAGGATGAGAATGATTTTTTTTGTAATGTGAAGAAGAGTATCAATACAAATTTAACAAATCTCAAAACTTTGTACAAGTAACAAGCACTATAACATCCTGTTCTAATGGCCATTTATAATAAAAAAAGTTCTTCACAAGAACATTTCTGAACACATTGGTGACATGTAAATAAGATCCCTTGGGGACAGTGTTCAATTAGCTTAAAATGTATACATTGCTGTTGAACTTCACTCACAACTCCACATTCATTCCATCATTTCAGTCACTCGGTTAAAACTCACACAGCAACAACTTATGGCATTGATGTCCATAACTTCTAAATATCAGATCAATCCAATTCTGTCAGTTCATATGTCCAATATCTTTTACTCTGTCAGGTCAATTGTCAAATATCTAATGCGCTGAAGGAGAAAAAACTGTCTTTCAATCGTTGCACAGGTTTCATCGTTTATTGCACACGAGTAGAAGTAATATCCATATTCATTCAGTGTCATCTATGATCTGAATTTTGCTGTTTTATATGACAAACAGAAATACATTTTGACAGACCTGCTTTCACTTTCCTAGTATTTTGCACTATCTCATACCAAAGAGTCATTCTCCTAGAGGCTATGAAGCAGTTGTCTGTCCTAATATCCTTTAGTCTATGATACCCTTGGTAAAGGTCCTCAAATAGCACAATCATAATGCACACCTCGCTGCGCCGTATCAGTTGCATTCTTCTGTATTTTCCCGTATTTCATCTTGATGTGGTGAGGACATTAGATCACTTGTAGAGCCAGTCTTTTTGTTACTGTGAGGTGGTGTTAGTTGTGTGATCACTTGAGCCTGCAGGTCTGGACTTCCTGCTCGCAAAGAGCTAAGCACTTGTTCCTGCCTTTCCTGTGCCTTTTCCTGAAAATATCAAAGATTTTTATTAACAAATCTGCAACGATCCCCCTTGATATATGAAATAGGGACATGTGATCACTTAAAATTTAATACATGGTCAAGTATGACATAAGGCTTATGACCAATATATCAGGTTATAACTTCAAGCAGGAAATTGGTCAGAAAAAAAGTGGTATGGTAGATTTTGAGTTTTATTTAGTAGGCCCATGGGTTTTACCATCACCAGGTAATTAACATGCAAGCTTTTCCTATACATTATCACAGGAAATATTTCCTTCCTGCCATGTTACAGAAAAGCGATGTTATGACTGATACATACCAGGAGGCTGAGGTCAATAGAATGTGTCTGGATGTGATGGCTGTCCTCTGGTGCCACATTAGGAAAGAACTTCACTTCTGCAGGACCAGACTCTCGCACAGTTATTGCAAAGGGAGCCATCCAGCTCACACACTGAAGAATGTCTACCCATGCAAAGCCTGTAACAGACAATATATTTTAAATATTTATGACAATATTTTGCATAACTTCATCAATACAAGTCCAGTTTCAAAAATATGCATTTCAAAATCTCTTTTCACATTACATACCATGATGGGAAAGTATCTCCCTTAGATAAGTTGTCAGATTTTTCATAAATCGTACAAGGGATGCCCTTCAATTGTTCCAAGCAATGGCAAAGGTACAAGTGGTATGTTAACTAGAACTATCATCCTGAGGATAACTTATACTCCTCCCACCCCTCTACAGATGAAAAGAAATTATACATAATTGTTTTAGTTTCAGTCCCAGTGACCTGTGAACATGTTACATATGACATGGAATTTCCATCTCCTGCAATGCCCCATCTCCTTACCATATTTTATGAAAGCTTTTTAGCCATTACCTAAATAGATTTGTATTTACAGTTGTCCGATAATATTTGCACATTATACAATTTAGTTAAAATCTTCTCCAAAGTTTAAGACACTTTTGCACTTCAGAATATTGAATGCTTTATCTTTGAAGTTAAGACTTTATTTTCTGCTTGAATATTAATTCATGAAACACATTTACTGGAAAAACAGACAGATAAACGATGTACATGTATTTAAGTAAATTGACATTTCACCTTCTGAAAGTAAACAAGGACACAAGAACTGTGATGTACTCTTGTAATCTGACGGAAAAAAAAAAAAGATGTTAAAGTCAGTGAGGCCACTGGAACATTTCACTTACCAGAGACTGAGAGGGCAATTTCTTTGGTTGTGAGGTGATAGAGTGCAGAGGCAGCAATGACACTGTAGGGAAACTGAAGACAGCCAATGTCCAGGATACACAAGTCCACCAACTGCAACCAAACATACCAACAGGTGTGAACAAGAGACGAACAAAATATCATGCTGACAAAATTATGTAAACATGTACCTTCCTCAAACACAAGTAAGTCACAGCCTAACGAATGTAAGTGTAGTTCAAAATATAGGTCAGTGATATAATGGAATACTTTTTCAATGCTTTGATGATTTTTTGGTCAGGAAACAAACATTGCTCCATATTTGCTTTTTCATACTGTTCCGAATAATTTTTAAATCAGTGTGGTTTCAAAAATGAACTTTTTACTATAAAACAAAACTAGATATCATCCAAACAGTACAAAGTGAATGGGTTATATCAGAGCCAATTCTTACCCGAGCTATTTGTATAAATGCATGAGAGGAATACTGAGGGAAGACAAATCCATGCTCTGATTCCACAATGTGATCTATATTGGCAACTTGTAGGTATAGGTTGAGCCAACCATTGGTGGTAAGTGGTGATAAGTCCCAGTTCAGTGCCTACAAAGTACCAAAGAAATCAATATCAGCACTAGAGAATAAGCATGGAAGAAAAAGACAGGGTCATAAAAACTACAATAGTTTAAATGTATTTTCAGTTTTTGAGAAGAGAATAAAGTGTTTACCTTCAACATGATCAGTTCTTGGTCCAAAATTTCATCTTCTGTACAGGCGCCATCTGTTACGTACGCGAACTCTGCTATCTTTGGTGGGTAGATTTCCTAGCAGAATATATAAAAGAAATGGCTGTTAGGTCTGGTATATTTGCTTAGATTTTTTATTTTATTTGCTCTTGAGAGATGTGTATTTAAATTATTGTATAAGGCCTGCCATTAGGAACAATCCCTTCAAATTAACTTTAGTATAAATATAAAATTTTCTGTATTCATTTTCATACATGAACAGTGTATGCAATGCACAATTTAAAAACTTGATAATGGCACTTGGTAGTTAAAATGCAGAGTGCATGTTCAATAACTTGACCATTTCCGCTTACATTTTTTTTCTGCAAAATTTGCAATCTAGAGAGTAGAATTAAGATATTACCTCTAACTTGGCTGCTATGAACAACGATGTGATGCCAATGAGCTGAAGTTGGTGTTTCTGTATCCCATTACTTAAACTCATATATCGATCCACAAAGTCCACGCCCAGGTAGAAAGTCTCCCTGTGTAGCCGATACACCTCGCACACCTGTTGGAACCAAATAGATGATAGACATCATTTTAAATAAACACAAGAGCATCAGATAATTATATATGTGGTAGCATCTTTTCAAAACTGTTAAAATCAGTTAATTGCTACAATTTAGCCTCAAAAAATATACTCTTCTTATAACACAGCAAATTTTAGCTATCCATTAATAACATCGAAAAAAAATTACCTCAATGAGCCAGTCCAATAAGATAGTCCTCATTCTTGACTGTAAAGCTGGGTGATTCTTAAATAGGTTTACATCTCGATGATAATGGGATTCCTTCTTCAACATGAATTGCCATACTTCTCTCGAGTCTGCCCAACTTAATTTAGGAAGTGGAGATGATCTGTTTGTGGATATAAAGTAGTTTCTGAAGCGAAATTTTGAACCTAAAATGATATCTGTTGGTTTCTTTTCTTCACTTTCTGGTGTGGGTGGGTGACTAGGTACTAGTGTGCACGTTGAAATGGAGGAGTTCTCAGAGATGGGTATCCACTGCGTCTGTAAACAACATAAGAGTCAAACGTGATTTTCAGCTAAAAAATTCCTTCAAAAACATAGCCAATCAGAAATGAAAGTTAAAAAATTTACCTTATAAGACACTTAACCACTTGTCTAATGAGTTTTGTGGGTAAACTGAACAGAAATCTAATGGTAGATTGGAAAAGTAACTCTACACACAAAATCAAGCAACACCCAATTCCCTTCTTTACGAATGTGTTTCATGTAACAAAAAAACAAATATCAGAAGGAATGGAAAATTCAAAAATAAAAAAAATTATAGCAAACATTTCATCATGTCACCACAGTTGTGGAAACCTGAACATAACCACTTTATAGTAAAAACATGACAAAAATTTCATAGACATTAAGACTGTTTGCTTTTATCAATCCCTTTGGTAAATTTCACACTACAAACATACATTAACCAATATTGTTATTGTGACTCAACAAATGCTCATTAACAATTTGATTCGGTGTAAACTATTCATTTTTGGGTTAGGAAGTAACTCAAGTGTCAGCTTGGGATATGTTTTCTTATGAGCCTTTGACCACCTGGTATTTGGCTTGGGTGAGTGACTTAAACCTGACAGGGCTTAGCACAAACAGCTTGGGTACTGCTTTTATAAGGACAATTTTGATAGCTCAGATAAAAAAAACACACCTTAAGCAACCAGCAGTGTCAAACAATTGTCAATAACTACTGCAAATTGTGTCAAGAAAATTTCCAAATAATAACTATAACTGTCTACTTAACCACTTGAGGTAAAATGTATTTTGAAATAAAAAAAAAGGAATAATGAAAATAATATGAAAGAAAAGAAAATAATAACGACCTGCTGAAGAAATAAACTATCATTATTGCACACAAATCGACCAGGAATCTGGTCATGCATATTCATGAGTTCACGAACAGGAAAAACATGGAGGCAGCGAGGTCAAATACTGACGTTTGAAAAAAAAATGTAAAAAAATATTTACAACACAATTTACGGAACCAAACCGATTGCATATAGTTCGATTTCGACATTTTTATGTCTTTCCTTAAAATAAAGTGGAAGCGTTAATTGCAAACAGTTTAAATCCGATACCAGTCGAGGGTTCCAGCTAATCAGGGTCAATGGCGCCATTTCACGCTTTACTAGAAGTTTAAGAAGTAATCTGAAGGGGTATGAAATGATAAACTTACTTCAATTCTGTACGTCTTCGTTCTTTTAATCATCGTTGTATCTTCGTCTAAATCCTACAGAAGGACAAAGAAGACAATTGGTTAAATGCGATGAATAAAATGGGTCGCCGAATGAATGAACAAAGAACAGCCATATCATTGCAACGTATGCCGCGGGGTAGCGATGTTGTGTAAATGAAATTTACCTCTTCTGCCTTCCTTTTCCTGCTCACTTTAGCAGCTGGTGCAGTTTCTTCATCGCTTTTGGTTCTCGATAACAATCGTGCACTGAAATAGAAATGCATCAAGTGTTTTTTTTGTTCACAAACTTCAATGGAAAGCCGACATGTCAAAATGGCGCGGGTTGACGGGCAATAGAATAGTGGGTCAGTTTACATACCTTTTTCTAGACATTGTAGACATCGGTGCTCTGGGATCGACCAAGCTGTGAAAGAAAAACATTCTAATTTAAGTTTGTATCTAAGAAATGCGTAATCATAGCAAAAATTATCCATTATTTTTGGCGGTGAAATATGGGTTCCCTACGTAATCTGACAAAAATGGAAGCCAGTAGCACGACTCCATGTCAGCGGTGTAAAAGTTAAAAAATTACCTGCATTACCAATCTTTATCACTGATGGGTAAGATATCCATATTTTCACAACCTTGTAGATCAAAATGAACTTTTTGTAATTTTCCTTTACAAAATTCCACGCGCCAGTTTGGATAAGCCGATTCGTCTAATCGGCGTCTCTCGATCCATCAGAATGTTAGCAGTCAAAATTCCTATGCAAATATAAATTCCGATTAAAATCCAGTGGGCAAGTCAAGTGATTAAGCAAAAATAGACTTTCTTACACCTAAACGATGATAATGAAAGCGTGATTAGATTCTTCATCTAAACTTCATTTTGCCTCACACCGATGTTCACTGCTCGACGCCCGAAAGATCAACTGAGGAACTCTCGCAGCTGGACTGTGAAGGTGGTAATCTCGAGATGCCCCCTACCCGCGCGCCAACCCGCCAAAGGGCAGTGAACAATGATTTTTTATAATTATTTTAATTATTGAGGCGAAGTTTTCATAGTTCTCGCTAATCATGTTTTTAATATATTCATATATGAAGAGGAAAAAATTATTTACTTCCAAAAAAAGATGACCAAAATTTTAACTTCCGATTAAACATTGGGAAAAAATACGCGAGGCGCGAAAAAACGATTTTTTAAACAATAATTTAGCTTTAAAAACGTTTAAGAGTCATGACTGTAACACTAACTGATACCCAGAAGCAAGTAATAGCATAAAATGTAAAAATAATAATTTTTCAATATTTGTTTACAATTTGTAACGCACACGTGGATATCAAAAACAGAAACGCGGAGAGGGGTTCGTATAGAAAACGTGATATAACAATATATCAGTAGAATATTGTACCTATTGTCGCATATCATCTGAAAGATAAGGCAATAAACTTCTGAATGAGACCGATGAAAATTATTTTCGGTATAAAAATTAAAAAGAAAATTACAATTTTAATGTTGTAAACATCATAAAAACAAAGTAAACGGGCATGCGCAAAGCAGTTGCCCTATTGCCCTCGCTATTTCTATTCTCAATTTCGATTGGTTTGTTTTCGGGACCGCCTCTTTCACAGGAACTAGTATGTTGCTTCCGGTCGGTAGCATGGAACATTTCACAGTATTGTTCAGACGACAATTCAATGTTGTTTTGGGGATGATACACCTGAAAGCGTTGCCAGGTCTCGTTTTATATACTTATTTCAGACTATGCAAGTGATATCAAGGTCGATTCACATACTTCATACTTGAATAATAGCTTTTTGACAACCTCGTGTCATCCTGGTGTTGTATAAAGAGCAATGTGAAAGTAGACATTAAAGACACGCCCCCCCCCTTTACTAGCATTATTTTTCAGCCACTGAATTCTACGTGACAGAACATGATAATTCTGACATAGTTCACATAAATCAATACATCGGTAACTGGTCCTTGATCTATTTATAAATACAGGAAAATATATGTTACACGTATGCTTATTCACGAGCTTCATCAGTATTAATTGAGCTTGTCATGTGAAATATAAAGTTTTATGTGTTTGGAAAGAGCGTGAAAGATGGAATGTTTACTAATTTAATGATTTTGTTTTTGTAACCTGAAAAAAAAAGAAACATGTGCATGTCTGATTTGACCGAGGAGATCCAAGATAAAAACAAAAACATTCCAATTTACCAAGTACACAAATTAGATAACAATTAACTTACCTTGATATCTGTTGAATGTTAACTTCAGTTTATAATTTCTCACTTTAAAGTATTGTAATCCTTGAGTATGTCATTAAAATGTATGAAACATACTCCTATGCACACAATTGCGGCATGATGTTTTGCAAGCCTCCTATTCCAAAGTTCTGATTGGTTGATGAAGCTTTCTAAAGTCAATTGTTTATTTCTATATATAACATGCAAATGAAACCTATAGCTATTTGCATATGTGAATGACAAACATGCATAAATTTGATTATCTACATAAGTAATAAGCCATGTATTATAATTAAGTTGTATGCACCTGTAAGAATGATTGGCCATTGTTCGCAGTATAGGTAAAAATCAATATATCTTGAATATTTATGAATATGTTGTGTTAGGTGATATGTCTGAGCAGGTGATGTGTTTTGGCGCCTGCTGCAAACAATCAATATATGTAGCATTACTTGTTGGAATAGCAGTACTAAGTCTGTCATATATATTCAATCATCCCAGCTATACAGCGATGATTCTGAAATAAACTATCAATTCTACAATACAAAACATGATGCTTTGCCTGTTTTCTTTCAATCTTTGTAATGAAGTGATAAACATTTTTTAACATCACTCATTCTTTACAATTAATTCTATATTTTTGCTGGTTTTCTGGAGACCCATGTTTTCAATAGTAGACAATTGTAGAGTACAAAGGTAAAGGTAGGTAACTTTTGTAATATCTCTTTTGTTTTTTTCCACATTTAGGATGCCCTAGACATACCCTCACTGTTGGAGAGATACAGAAAGCAGCGTGTTATGAAGCTCAGCTATATAAAGATTTGGAACTTGTGAGCTATTACTGAGTAGTTAAGAGATTCTGTATGATGGATTTATTTTTTCAGTGATGTATAGATGTCAGATTTGATGTAACGTAATCTAGTGTATAAAGTGGTACACAATGAGCCACTTTCATCTGATGTAATAATGTATAACTTAATATATTACATTTCAGTTTGATTTTTAATGTAAACCTTGTCTATTAGAATTTTATTTGATGTATGTGTACCTGGGTTTGATACTGGTTAAGTGAAGCAAAAAATAGAATACTTTCACGTTATATTCCAAGATTTAAACAACATTCAACAAAGATTTCTTTAAAAAATTATGATCTATCAAATTTGTTAGCAAAGCGGAAGCATTATATTTGTGGTGAGTCCATTTTATCATACAATACTACACTGTTATTATACAACACTGTTTCATTTTTTCATCAAACAATGGCATATAAGGTAAATCAAAACTGTCAATCACTTCCTTTTAATTCTAACCCTGACATTATTACACAATGGGTGAGACTTAAGGTTGTATACAGACAAAAGTTCCTGCCACCTTACCTGTGACATTAATTACAGGTTTGATAACCTGTTTGTATACCTGTCCACACCCTAGGTATTATATCAGATGACAAAGTTGGTGAAAGCACCATCAAAATATGACAAATAGAGATTTTTTTATTGTTAAACTTTAATCTGTCAGACTGCAGTAAGTCACTGGAGGCAACGTCACAATACTGCCCTAGGACTTCTCTACATTTTTTTTTATAGCAAATGAAGTAAGTAATCAGCAATATTAATGCATTGATATTATTACAAGTCTAACTGGAAGCCATGTATGTAGAGGATTGAAATGAGTTCATCCAGAGAAAGGGTGATGATGGCTTCGTTACTGTAACAAGACACAAGTCATTGAAGAACCGTTACCTCTCCTGTCTTTATTTTCACACTACAAACTTACTTTTTTTACAACAATTACAAAACAAGTTGGGGCAGCAAAAAAATTCTATTCTATATTATTATCTCCATTTATGATGCAACATTTTTTTCTGTATATGTTGTTTATGTATGCATTATTGTGTAGGCATATTGTGTGAAAAATGTCCATCATTATTACCCAATGTACTATTTTTTCATTACTTGTGTAATATTTTCAAAATTCAGGGCATTGAAAAGAAAACTGAATAAAGTTTAATCAATGTCAGATAGCTGCAAATGTTTCTTCGCTCACTTTAGTTCAATTTGTTTTATTTATCAAACCATAAGTCTAGTCAGATTCCTTTTGGTGTGCTGCAGTGTGCAGGAATGTGTTCTGTGTTCATTAATTTTTACACCCAAGAAGATTCTATGGTTGTAATGGAGAGAAACATAGTTATGATTCATTTGGAAAATTTAAAATCACTAAAAAGAAAACAAAAGAAAGAAAGAAAAAAGATGAAATTACCAGGATCATCTAGTTGTATTTTTGTGGTGAGCTGATGATGACAGCTTTTTGAAGTTTTGAAAAAGAAAGTCTCTTTCACTTAGCTGAGAGGGTATACTACTTTGGCTCAGTTGGAAAAGCCTCAGATTACAGCACCACAGAACTGTATCCAATTTTTCTTAGGGAGCTTGGCAAGAATGTGTTTTCTTTTTTTGTTTGTCTTTTTTGTTTGTTTTTTTCATACACATAACATTGCTCTCTTATTTCTATAATGGTAATTTAAAAAAAAATTAGATATTGTATATTTTTTACAAACTTACAGCCTCAAGGAAAAAGAACCTATTATAGACCTCATTTTATTACCATAAAACATATCTTAGACCATTCTTTCTGTTACATAAACTGGATTTTGTATTTTAAGAAGATTTACTGAAAATGATGTCTAAAATTGACATAATACAATCCTCCTTAATGGAAAAGGTTGGCAAGATTTGACAATAAGATTAACTGTTAATGGTTGATCAAAGTGACAATGGAAAATCTTGCTTATCTTAATACCAAAATACAGACGAAACTGCACGAGGCAAAGATAGATAGCAAATATCAAGAGGCTTTGATAATTTATTGGGAAAGAATTTACATAAAACTCTCCACCATTACATGTAACCATTGTAAAACATAGACAGGTAGCTAGTGCGGCAAATTATGACACATAACTAGTGTGACACATCAAGACCTAACCAAAGTGAAACATAACAACATATAGCTAGTGTGACACAACATGACACATGACCACTGTGACACACCATGACACATAACCGTTGTGACACACCATGACACATAACCATAGTGACACAACATGACACATTAAGCAAGTGTGAAACAAAATGACACCTAACCATAGTGACACAATATGACACATGACCACTTTGACACATCATGGCACATCACCATTGTTACACAACATGACACATCACCATTGTTACACAACATGACACATCACCACTGTGAAAACAACATGATACATAAAACCAGTGGCACAACATGACACATAACCACTGTGACACCACGACACATAACCATTGTGACACAATATGACACATCACCATTGTGACACAATATGACACATCACCATTGTTACACAACATGACACATTAAGCCAATGTGAAACAACTTTACACATAAAACCAGTGACACAACATGTCAAATTACCACTGTGACACATCATGACACATAACTACTATGATGCATAACCATTGTGACATAATTTCTGGCCACTTTGACACAACATGACACAACCACTGTGACACAACATGTCACAAAACCATTTTTTACACATGACACATCACCACTGTTACAGGTCATGACACATAAAGCCAGTGTGAAACAACATGACACCTCACCATTGTGACACAATGACACATGACCACTTTGACACAACATGATGCGTAACTATTATGACACATAACCATTGCGACACAACTTCTGGACCCAGTTTTATGATTCTTACTTAATTTAAGGAAATCTAAACTACCATAGAAAGCATTATTAAGTTAAGGAAAATCTTCAGGAACTTATGTAATGCTGTCCTATTTGTAATTTTATGTTATGGAAAATACCCTCAAGTTATGGAAGATTCATTAAACTGGGACCTGATACATTTTTTTGGTTAAAAATGATTTTTGATATTATTTTCCGGAAATATCACTAGCATTACACAGTCCATTGCTGAATATAACATATTGTGTAAAGTTCACAGCTAATAGTGGAGGGGAGGTAATTCAAGTTTAAATGGATTATCAGGTTCACAGAAGTTGGATGGTCTTGTTTACTTTAGGAAACAATTATGACAGACAAAAGCATATAAAATATTTTTAATTTAACACGATACTATTTTTAGTCAATTTCTCCATAATGAATTAATTTTACTACATAATAGCAGAAAAAGATGTTCATAAGGAAAATTCAGTGTAACTTACATTTTCTCTTTGCCTGTCTTGTTTTTGAGCGTGAGACATCGGTAGGTGCGTGGACTGTTTGGGAGGTCCTCCATCACATGGGTTTCAGGTAGTATGTTTTCTATGTTTTCTTGTATGAACTGGCACTGACGCTGGCCACAGGGTAGGGGGTCATACACTCGGGATGCAGACTGACCACCAACCCTGGTGGGACTGACCCTCTCCTTGAATTCAGGGCTGATTTTGACTCCCTCTTCCAGTTTTGGTATTTCTATGTGAATTGGTCCTTGTGATATATCTCCTTTGTCATTATTTGTGGTGATGACCTCCACAGTCTCACTGACCTCTCCCCAGTAACCTCCGACCCCGCTGTAGTCATAGTAGCTGTTACAGGTACTGTAGTAAGCAGAATTATGATATAACATGATGTTGGCTCTATAGTGGTCAGTATACCTACAGATGTAGTATGTGTTACAAGGAAACCAGGTTGTTACATGGGTAGAGTATACAGACAATGTGATATACTGCTGGACTTATATACTGTATAGGCAAGGTATCATTTAGGTAATCAAGCTTGACAGATGAGCACTTGAGTTGATCAGGTACATCCTTGACCACTGTCCACCTGAGAGACACGCCCCTTTGTTCCTGACTGATTGACAGATGATAACCACTAGATTACAGTTTAGGTGACTGTCCTATCGCCCTGAGTCCCTTGGCTTGGGTAGGGGTGTAGGAGAAGGTACCTGTCACTGACACCTTCAGAACATTTAACAGTCACCCCAGCCACCAGACCCATTGTTTATACATGCAATTCACACTTATTCAATATGAAATGACTATCCACTTAGCTCTACTGTAAATATATAATTGTTTGATTAGTTTTTTATTGTCAAAATTGATTATTTTAACAAATTATAAAGACAATGACAGGTATAGAATTAATTGGTCTGTTTTATTATGTCATTCTAATAAAGGATGATACTTTTTTATAACATTTCTGTGTAAATTAATACCAAAATATAATACAATAGAAAAGTATATCTATAGGACATTTATATACCTATCATATTGAAAATAAGTATATCTATAGGACATTTATATACCTATCATATTGAAAATAAGTATATCTATAGGACATTTATATACCTATCATACTGAAAATAAGTATATCTATAGGACATTTATATACCTATCATACTGAAAATAAGTATATCTGTAGGACATTTATATACCTATCATATTGAAAATAAGTATATCTATAGGACATTTATATACCTATCATACTGAAAATAAGTATATCTATAGGACATTTATATACCTATCATACTGAAAATAAGTATATCTATAGGACATTTATATACCTATCATACTGAAAATAAGTATATCTATAGGACATTTATATACCTATCATATTGAAAATAAGTATATCTATAGGACATTTATATACCTATCATACTGAAAATAAGTATATCTATAGGACATTTATATACCTATCATATTGAAAATAAGTATATCTATAGGACATTTATATACCTATCATATTGAAAATAAGTATATCTATAGGACATTTATATACCTATCATATTGAAAATAAGTATATCTATAGGACATTTATATACCTATCATAATGAAAATAAGTATATCTATAGGACATTTATATACCTATCATATTGAAAATAAGTATATCTATAGGACATTTATATACCTATCATATTGAAAATAAGTATATCTATAGGACATTTATATACCTATCATATTGAAAATAAGTATATCTATTTATGGTATAATATTAAGACTGTGGTGTGTTCTCTATCTCTCTGGTACCTTAGTACAACATTCTGTACTTGTATATTTTGTTATTTGAGAATATTTTTTTACATTATCTGTATAATTATATGTACACCTACCATATGTGAAACAAAACGCTAATATTTCAGTTAGTCCATGGACCTTACAAAAACATAACAAGTTGGTTAGTGTATTAACCTAATAAAAACAATATGATGACTTATACAGTCTGTGGTCCTAATACAAACATGATGAGTTTAGTAGTATATGGACCTGAAAAAAGCATGATGAGTAAGGTAGTCTATGAGCTCCCAGCTCATTATTTCATTTTTATGTGATTAAATTTGACCTTTTTGAAACTGAATTTCTAACAAAGATTTGTTTTTCACCCAATCTCAGGTCAACAATTCAGCTATCAATAAGGACTCTTATCGAACAATTTTCTTTCAGAAATACCAGATTTAAAGTTAATGACAAACTACAGAATTAAAGTTAATGACAAACTACCAGAATTAAACTTCATGACAAACTATAAGAGTTAATCTTAATGGCAAAATATTGGGTACCTCAGGAAATATGAAAAAAAGAAAATGTGTACAGATGAAAAATAGTAACATAAATCTATGTTGATCTCAATCAAGATAATGACTGATGCATTTGTATGATGATTCTATTTACTCAGTTTTATCGGACAAAAAAAATTTGCATAAGTAAGAATACAAAATACTTTGTTTTGAGAAACTGCCAGATCAATTGGTAATTTATCTGACAAATCATCTTCATCTGATCACTTTAAAGTTGGCATTTATTCAGCTTAAAGTTCTGTTATTGAGTTATCTCCCCTCAGCCACTTAAACAATTTCAGGAAAAGACCTTAATATGTGAGTAAAGACAATAAGGTTTAATCTGCTGGACCTGGTAATCATCAGTAAGTAAGTAAAGTCCCCATTAGATATAAACAATGATGCTTTCTATAGTATCCATATTTATAAATATATAATTTATTATTTCAGAATGTATAACGTTTAACAAATACACATTGTATATGGAGGACCTATGGATAGATTTTAAAGCTTAGTACCATATTTTCTGGGTTATAAGCTGCATCAATATATAAACTGCTGGGCCAGTTCTTAGCAATTTTTTTACAATTTGGTCCATATGTAAGCCGCACACTTTTTTACGATATTGTGACCACTATTGTTGACTTTTGATATCCCAGTGTAGAGTATGGTAAAGTAAAGCCACCTTAGTTTGTTTGCATTGTTGTTTCTTCACTAAATTTTTTATCAGTTTACTTAATTATGTTCCTCAATACATTAAAAAGCAAAAAAAAAAAAAAAAAAAAACCAAAGGATTCCTGACTAGTATAAGGATGAGAGCTGTGAGTGAGATATTTGTCTCTAGAGTAACAGGTAATCACCACTAGCTCATACTTGTGCTTTTTGAAAATTTACGGTAAAACAGGTGTCTTTAAAGTCAGACATTAACTATTAGTTAACATGTGTGAGTTGTGAATGAGACAGGTGTCATTGAAATCACAGGCATTCAGTATTGGTTATTGACTTTTTATTAACAGGATGGTGTTATTGTTGAGAACATGAATGATGTACCATATCAACACAGTGCAGCAGTTGGCCATGAGATTAGTGCCAGTATGGCGGTCATCTGTGCAGCGGTCAAGTCAGTTATGGGGGTGAAACCAGTTGGTGTCCAGGTTCTGGCAGGAGCAAACAAGCAAGCCCTTGGGGTGGCTAAGGCTGCAGGTGAGGGAAGTTACTTATACTTACCTACTGTGACCTGGTGACCTTTACATTGTAAGTTGTATATGAGGTCTGATTGACAAGTTTTGAGCCTCATATTTAAAAGTTTGTCTTTTGGCGGATATGTTGTATTTCAGTGTAATACCCTTCAGTATCTATACACTTTCGCCGACAATGTTTAAGGGCCTAAATGCCACTTTTAAAGAAGTCCTTTTCTTGACTGCTCACAAAGTCCTCCACTGCATGTACGACGTCATCATCTGGCTAAAAATGAGTACGGAAAATGGCCTTTTTCAGTCTTGGAAACAGATGAAAGTCTGATGGAGGGTGATCAGGCAAATAAGGTGGATGCTCAATTGATACAATAGTTCATGGCACCCATGGCAATGACAGATATGTGAACAGGGGTATTGTCCTGGTGGAACAACACATCTTTACTGAGTTTTCTGTGGTGCTTGAGCTTGATATTTTCTCTCAACTGCCTAAGAAATGGTGCATAATATGTGTCATTGATTGTTTGTCCCTTTTGCAGATAAACTACCATCATAATACCATCAGCATCCCAGAAAATTGAGGTCATGACCTTTCCAGCTGAATAGTCATTGCCTTCTTTGGCAGGGATGAACCATGGTGCTTCCATTGTTTAAAGTGTTGTTTGACCTCTGTGGTGAAATGATGGCCCCATGTTTCATCCATAGTCACAAATCTAAGCTGAAAGTTAGCAGGATCTGCCTCTAAAATGTTCAGATTAGCACACAAAAAAGTCTGGTGTGCTTCTGATCAACTGTCAGAAGTCTGGGTACCCAACGGGCTGAGAGCTCTCTCAGTGCAAGATCTTCCATAGGAATAGAATGTACTCTTTCCAGTGAAATCCCAACTGTACTGGCTTTATTTTTTTCTGTATCTCGCCTGTCAGCCATGATAATGTCATGGAATTTATTGACCATTCCTGGGATTGCAACAGTGACAGGCCTTCCAGGACATGTATTATCCCCAAGGCTCTGCCTGCCACACTTAAATTACATCACCCAACTTTTCACTGTAGCATATGAAGGGGCATCATTCCCTAGTGTTGCTACCATATCAGTATGAATATCCATAGGTGCTAGCCCTTTCGTATGCAAATATTGAGTCACTGCTTTTTCAGCAATTTTGTCCATTTGCAAAAGTCACTTGCCTTGTTTACTTTAGAGTGCAACCTCTACGACATAAACTGACCAAATGACACCAATCTTCTGGTACACAGCCTTAAGATGTCAGGGAATAGTAGAGCTGAAAAAGACATCCTTGCTTAACTTCTTCAATACTTATCAGTTAGTCCTCATAACCGTGACCTTGTGACCTTAATAGTGTATGTTTTACTACTGTGACCTTGTGCCTTTAACAATGTATGTTTTACTACTGTGACCTTGTGACCTTAGTGTATGTTTTACTACTGTGATCTGGTGACCTTAACAATGTATGTTTTACAACTGTGACCTGGTGACCATAAAAAGTATGTTTTACCTTAACAATATATGTGTTACCTGTGTGACCTTAGTGTATGTTTTACTACTGTGACCTTGTGACCTTAACAATGTATGTTTTACAACTGTGACCTGGTGACCTTAGTGTATATTTTACTACTGTGACCTTGTGACCTTAGTGTATGTTTTACTACTGTGACCTGGTGACCTTAACAATGTACACTTTACTACTGACCTGGTGACCTTAACAATACATATTCAATTACTGTGACCTTAACAATACATATTCAATTACTGTGACCTGGTGACCTTAACAATACATATTAAATTACTGTGACCTGGTGACTTTAAGATGTGCGTTATATTGCTTTGACCTGATGACCCTAACAATATGTTATGTTAATGTGACTGAGTGACCTTAACAATGTGTTATATTGCTGTGACCTGGTGACTTTACCAATGTATGTAGTATTAATGTGACCTAGTCACCTTAAAGATGATTCTCTTATGAATATACCAAGCATATTGTATATTGTTATGATATAATTTTGTATGTTAATATTATCTTAAACTGACAATAAGGTTTGTCACAATTTAAAATGAAACTGATTTGTAATGCAGGGCTGGACTTTATTAGAGCTGAGGGCTTTGTGTTTTCTCATGTTGCTGATGAGGGAGTAATGAATGCTTGCGCTGGAGATCTGCTTCGATACCGGAGGCACATAGGGGCTGAAGACATACGGGTGTTCACAGACATAAAAAAAAAACATAGGTAAGGGATCTGATAAGATAAATAGGGACTGACCACGTACAGGTGTTCACTGACATCACAGATAACATAGGGACTACCACAAAACTGACATCATAGGGACTGCCACATACAGGTGTTCACTACACCACATAGGGTGTTCACTGACATCACAGATAACACAGGGACCACTGACATCACAGATAACATATGGACTACCACATACAGGTGTTCACTGACATCACATATAACATAGGGACAACAACAAAGAGGTGTTCACTGACATCACAGATAACATAGGGACTACCACATACAGGTGTTCACTGACATCACAGATAACATAGGGACTACCACATACAGGTGTTCACTGACATCACAGATAACATAGGGACTACCACATACAGGTGTTCACTGACATCACAGATAACATAGGGACTACCACATAGGGACTACCACATACAGGTGTTCACTGACATCACAGATAACATAGGGACTACCACATACAGGTGTTCACTGACATCACAGATAACATAGGGACTACCACATACAGGTGTTCACTGACATCACAGATAACATAGGGACTACCACATACAGGTGTTCACTGACATCACAGATAACATAGGGACTACCACATACAGGTGTTCACTGACATCACAGATAATATAGGGACTGACCACGTACAGGTGTTCACTGACATCACAGATAACATAGGGACTACCACATACAGGTGTTCACTGACATCACAGATAATATAGGGACTACCACATACAGGTGTTCACTGACAAAGGCAAGCAATCTGATGAGATACTGGAAGTGATAAAAAATGTTAATTTTAATTAGTTCTGAGGTTGAAATCAGTGAGGAATTTCTGTAAACAAAACACAAGGAAATTATTACATATTTTATAGATAGTGGTTTCTGACTCAAAGATTGATTTTCAAGTTATTCAGATGCTCTGTGTATAGTTCAGACACCTCACATCAAGATGGCATCTGTCTAGCATCTTCAACTGTATGAACACCAGTGGTGAATGGTATTTGTTACATTTATAATTTAACCAGAAATTGAAGATTGCTTCCATGGTATCAGATTGATAAAATATTTCTGAATTGTTGGAGAATTTTCACACTGTTTATTGTTTGTTAAATCCAAATTGATGTTTGTTGTACAATTGTAAGAGTTGTCTCCCCTCCACTAGTGGCCATCTTACACGATACCTTGTCTTTCAATACAATGTCTTCCTTTCAATTAATTACCTGTTATATGATACAGTCAAGTAAATAAGTTGTAAAGCATCATTGGACTTTGTAACAAAGGTTTAGCACCTTTGGAGGGTAACCAGAAGTAAACTCTTTCTCTACTGAACAATTACAGAAATAATGAAGTTTTCCCAACCGTAATCACAGGTGTTAAAATAAATAATCCTTCATCTTTTGGGAAACATTCATGAGATGATTTCCAGAGCACGATGCATATCAAGGTAAAGGTTACAACCATCCAGGATCTATCGTAAAACACAGTAATTGGTGGGTGTAGACCCCCTAAGACCAAAGGGGCAAGGACAAATAGTGAATATTTTTAAAAATTTTTCTCCTTTAGGAATGAAGGGACTTTAAAGCATCATTGGTGCGAGACAATTTTGTAAAATTTCAAATAAATCATGGGTCTGACACCCTCTCAGGACTGAGGGGCATATCCAATGGACAATGAGGGGACTTGGAATCAACCTGAAAGTCCTTCATCAGTGTAGATAAAATAATAATAGCGACCAAAAACCAGGTGAGAAATGCAAACCCAATGGGCTATTACTATTTTCTTATCCTCAGCAAAATTCTGTTTCCCTATAGACCCAATCAAAATATTTTTCAAGTCACCCGATAATTGTGGTCCAGCCATCAGTAAACAATATTTCTTGAGAAGTACTTAATAGATATTTCATATGTAGGTTCCCCTTGGTCCTTAGTTGTGGCCATTAAATTTTGGAACTGATAAAAAAGAACGAAATCGCCAACAGACAGCCATTTTGGATCTTGACTTTGCAAGTTTGTTATTGCTATTTCTTGAGAACTACTAGATGGATCTTTCTCAAATTACTTATGTAAGTTCCCCTTGCTGTCTAGTTGTGTCCGTTAGATTTTGGGTCTGATCAAACAAGTGGCCATCTTGGATTTTGACTTCGAAAGTTTGTTATTGCTATTCTTGAGAAATCTTTCTCAAATTTCATATGTAGGTTCCATTTTGTATCTTGTTGTGCATGTTTGATTTTGACTTGATCATAAAAACAAAAAGGGTAGACAGGTGGCCAGCTTGGATTTCACCTGGTAAATTTTGTTATCACTATTTCTTAGTAGGTACTCAATTGATCTCTCTCAAATTTCATATGTAGATTCCACTTGATCCCTAGTTGTGCCCGTTTGATTTTGGGACTAATCAGAAAAGTGAAATGGCCGACAAGTGGCCATCTTGAGTTTTGCTTAGTAAAGGCTGTTACAGCTATTTCTTAAGAAGTACTGAATGGATCTCTCTTAAATATATGTAGGTTCCTCTTGGTGCCTGTTTGATTTTGGAACTGATCAATAAAAACAAAATGGCTTCCATCTGACCATCTTGGATTTGGCAGCTAAAGATTATTATACCCTCCTACAATGAAGTTGGAGGGGTATATTGGAATCTCCCGGCCTGGCTGTTTGACCTTCTGACCCTCCAACTGTCTGTCCAGAATATTGTGTCAAGTGTATCTTAAAAAATGCTGAAGCAACTTTCCTCAAACTTGGCATACTACATCCTTATGATATAAAGTTGTGGCCTTTCGCTTTTCGTGAAATTTTGACAACTTTGTAAGAGTTATGCCCCTACTTGTAGATTTTCTGTTTCGAATATTGTCTCAAGTGTATCTAATAAAGTGCTCAAGCAATACTTCTCAAGCTTGTGCCGTTTCACTTTTCACTTAAACTTGATAAAATGCTACAGCTAATTATGGCCTATAATTTGACATATTAGGTGTTCCAAAACCATTACCTAGAAACATTTTCAAGGCTCCTGATTGGTTGAAATAAAGATATAATCTGATTATGTTGAAAATAAGTATAAAATGGTTTAGGGGATAACAAATACAATATCATTTTTGGAAAAAAAAAAAGAAATTGTTTCCATTTGGTTTTCATAGTGACCAAATGAAGACCTCTTGGAAGAATCTTGTTGGGACAACCCCTCCAAGATTGTTGTTGATTGGGGAGCACGGGGAGGGGGAATTAGTCAGCCATCCTGGTTCTAGTGATTACTTTTTCTGCAAAGGATAAATGTTCAAATTTCTTATTATTAAGAGCAAAAACAGAGAAGAGAAAAGATGGGAAAAGATCCATTTGTTCAAAGAACAAATAAAGATCAAACAATGGTGGGTGCCAAGATCCCTCTGGGATCTTTTGTTTCAGGAATTTTGAGAAACTTAAATGAAGAATGTTGTTTTTCAGTTGTTCAATGCTATCACTACCACTGTTAAACACCATTTTTAGGTTGTTATACTCATAAAGCTGCTAAGGCAAATACAAAAAACATTATGACAGACAGACAACTTTGTATACAACTTTTCCAGTTTAACTGAGGCACTTCTTGGTGTTTTACTTTGGAAAATTCATGTTGATGTAGAAATGTCAGCCATGTTTCCGGTAAAATAGATTCCTGAAACATAGCTGTAATGTAATGATTATTCCACAGTTATAACTACACAAGAAAAAAAATAAATCCACTGTGGTTAGTCACCTTTTCAAATCAGCACACAGTGTGGACATTGATGTTCATGTACTGCAGAGACTTCCATCAGTGGGACAGCAGGGTACTGAATTAATCTGGGGAACGATTGGGTACAATTTTCCTGTTGAAATTAATTCCATACTTGAAAAATAATCACTAGTTATAGAACTGATTCTTGCTGACTTATTCATAAAATGTTTCAACACCATGTTCATTTCCTTTGAAATCATGTTGTATTGATTTATAAATTAGGTTTTATTGTTCTGTTAATTCTGCTTTAAAGCTGTTCTTCAGAATCCTGTAAAAGATTGGGACATTTTTTCTGTGGTCAAAGTCCTTTGATCCTACCCTAAGAGGATTGTCTTGTCATCAGAGTTCGATGCTCTGTTGATACAGTGCTGAAATCACGCTGAAGAACTTTGAGGGATTTTCTTGAATAATTACTTGAGTGATTGCATCATTTCCATGGCTTCCTTTCCTAGCGCTGGTTGCTATGGTGATAAAGACTAGGGATGTTGTGTGATGAGGAAGGCTAATGGCTCATGGCTCTGATCTGGAGACAGATCACAGTATCACCACTGGGAGATATGGGAGTAGTTCTAAGTGTTTACATTTCATTAGTGATTGGTCAGTCATGTGAACTGATGGTCATGTAGGTCACCATCTAATGCATCTTTTTCATTTATCATATTTGATCTAAATTTGAAACAATATATCTACAATGTTCACTCATCACAGGTCCAAAAATTCTCTACTATATCATAGCCACTTTCAAAATTCTGTATTTATCCATATCTAATAAGATTTCATAATTCCCACTAATTATTGTCCTCTTTGATTTTAAAATTCTCTAATTATCAATGTTCACTAAGATTACATGAGTTTCTTCTTATTCATGTCCATGAAGATTTCAAAAGCCTCTCCCTTCTCCTGTCAAATAAAATTTCAAAATTCTTTCATCTAAAATTCAAAATGGCCACTGTGGTATCTGATGAGACATTTTTCTCAAGAATGGCTGATGCAATTGACTTCTAACTTGATGTAATGATCGTTATGGAGTCCCATACAGATATTGTTGTTCTCATGCAGATTGGAAAATCCAAAATGGCCGAAGAGTCTTCTGATTGGCTGAGATATTTTTGAATTTTTCTCAAAAATGGATGGTAGAATGGATTCCTAACTTGGTAAAAATTATACTTATAAGGTCATGGCGATGTAGTGTTACTTGTCATGGTGTGCTGGTGTATGAAACCTTACGATAGTTTATAGGCAGGGCCCTTCCTCAACATCGGTCTAGTAATCTATATCTTCTAGGATATCAAAAATCTCTGTCTATTCATACTCCCTGAGATATATCTACTGAGAAAACCTAACTCAGGGATATCAAATTTGTCCCACATTGAACATGTCAAACACAGGGATTTGTGTAGATGTAGTGGAGTTTTCAGTAGCAGAAATAAGGTATTGATTTCTTAGCAGGACATTGTTATAGTATAGCCTTTATTTGTACCTTATATCACCACAACACCACACCAACTGTTTGACAAAACTGTGATAATTCTGTTATCTTGATGGCGTAGGGATGGGGACAATAACAACATGCTTTTGTTGATTACCTTTCTAGAACATGTTTACTAATTATCTCTTGAAGAAAGAAATTAAGGTTCTTAAGAAACCATTCAGACTGTTTTGTTTGTTCGTTTGAGATAGCAATTAAAGAGCTGCTGCGTGTAAAAATGACGTAACTGATAAAAAAAATTCAGGAACTGTGACAGTAATCATCTGACATCTATCTTACACAATTTGGATTCCAAAATAAAAATGTTTCAAATGTGAGAATGTAGATATGATCTGTTGTTGGGGAGAGTTTACACAAACATGCAGCCTTACATGACACCTAACAAATCTGAATACCGGTATATCATTGCTTAACAGCAATTAATTAGACATAAATTTACTCACTGACACATCCAGGATTTTGGAACAGAGATACCTAAAACTTCAGTGGTCATGATGTCTATGGGTTTGGTTTTTAAAATAATTAAAATATTGTACACATGGTCTGTTGATTTATTTATTTTGAATATTTAAATCAACTGGTGACTTGGATTAAAGGATCATCGGTGGATGTAGAAAGAGGTTTAGTTAACTTGCCAGGAATGAACATGATATTGTCTCCAGCAGGAGTGTTTTTGAGTTAATTTAAAGCAAAGATAGCTGCCACCTTGAAAATCACATTTAAGACTTCCTCTGTAGTGGTATCAGTTGCTTTGACTTGAAACTTGATGGGGAATGCTGATGAATTGATGTCCACCTTGTGAAATGCTTAACAATGCAATTGGGATGGCTAGTTGGCCTCATTGCAGACACAGTCCAGGTCACAACCCAAGTCACAGCCCAGACACAGCCAAGGTCACAACCCCAGTAACAACCCTAGGCACAACCCAGGTCACAACCCAAGTCACAGCCCTAGACACAGCTAAGGTCACAACCCCAGTCGCAACCCCAGACACAGCCCAGGTCACAGCCAAAGTCACAACCCCAACACAGCCCAGTCACTACCCCAGTCACAACCTTAGACAAAGCCCAGGTCTCAACCCCAGTAACAACCCTAGACACAGCCCAGTCACAACCCTAGTCACAACCTTAGACAAAGCCCAGGTCTCAATCCCAGTAACAACCTTAGACACAGCCCAGGTCACAACCCCAGTTGCAACCCCAACACAGCCCAGTCACAACCCCAGTCACAAACTTAGACACAGCTCCGGTCACAAACCCAGTCACAACTCCAGTCACAACCTTAGACACAGCTCAGGTCACAACCCCAGTTACAGCCCTAGACACAGTCCAGGTCACAACCCCGACACAGCTCAACTAACAACCTCTGTCACAACTCCGACACAACCCAGGCCACAACCGCAGTCACAACCCTGAAACAGCCCAGGTCACAATCCCAGTCACAACCTTAGACACAACCTTAGACACTCCTTGAACACATCCTTAGATGTAACTGGCTGCATTTTGGTAAACAATCTTTTTTAGATATTTAATATAGAATGGTTTATTGCTAATGAACTGTTCCTTGTTATAATGTTAATCATTATATCTATTGTTGATGAAGCAGTCTAGCCACTGGGCTGTATACAAGCTGCCTTTAAAGAAATAAAGATATCAACCACCTCTGTTGTTTTTAATGATTAAAACCAGTCATGATTGGAATGAAAATCAAAGCTCTGGATTCTGATTTTGATATAAAGGGACTTAATATTGTTGAGTAATGAGAGTGGTCTCTGTGAGATATGCCTTATAAGATATAGACACCATCTCCTCCATTTTTCTCTGATGTTTGATGAAAATTTGAAAGAACAAATCAAAGCGTCTTTGATAATCATCTCTCGATCAGATATGTATTCATCTTAGGCTAGCTTTGAGATAAATACAATAGATTTTTTTTTCCAGTGCTCATGCAATTACTTCAGATGTGAGTATCAAGGAGACATCTAAGGCTGCAGAGTTCTTCCTTAGCGACGGTGTCATCATTACAGGGGGAGCCACTGGACAGGAAGCTGATGTCATGGAGATGAAAGGTAAGCTATAATGACATCTGAGATAGATTAGGACTGGAGCAAGCAACCTGTTCACAAATTTTCTTCATTCCAATGCTTACTATTCTCATGTTATACATTAATTAAAATATCAATATTTCATCATCTTTGAGATCTTTTTATCTAACGAGTCCTATGTCTGCTTTTATACTTTTATCTTACCATAATTCTAATGAACAAGTTGTATACTCTGGAGGCTTTGGTGTTGTACACTAAATAATTACCTCTTAAAACCTTATTATCAGAGATATTGCCATTTATTAGGACCTCACATTGTAGATGCAGGTGCCCTATAGTTATCAGCTTGTCTGTACATCTGTCTGTACATCTGTCTGTACGTCTGTCTGTCCATCTGTTTTTATGTCCTATTTGGATGAGCCAATTATATTTAAACTTCATCTATTCCTCCAGGAAAGTGCTAAATTAGGATTGCTTTCATGTCCAGGTATCAAAGGCGAAGATCACTGTTATTATGAATAGAAAACAATTTTATACTAAGACTTTATCAATGTATTCTGCAGAGAAAATGCTTGCTTTGAATGCTGTTAATGTCAAAGGTTAAAATCACTATTTCTATAAAAAGAATGCTGAATATATAGAGAATACACAGTCAGTGTCTTAAAATATAAGCTGTATTTTGGCTAGGGTGAAGAAAGACAAAAGTGATGAGCCTCTTGCGTTGACATTACACTTAATTTTGCCTGATGACATACGTCAAAATAATTGCTCCATGATGAAAAGTAGTTCCAAACTTCAATGGATATGACAGCGACTTTATGAATTTTCGTCAATAAACTTGTACATAACAACATATAAAATCACTTATTTCAATAGTAATTTTTATTGTTAAACATGATTTTTGAGTAACTTCAGACAATAATTCTGTTGAAGTTATGCATGTGCTTAAATACAGCTGTTTTCTGTCACTGCCAAATACAGCAAAAATATATATGGCTGGTGTATTCTGACAATGGCAGTGCCAGTTTCAGGATATAAACATGAGGTCTTGGCCCCTCAGGGCTTAGAGATGGGGCCCAAAAGGGGAAATTCTTAAAAATCCTACTCCTCCTGCAAGAATGATTTTGGAATAAATTTTGTACAAATGGTTGGTCTCAGAACCTTCGGATGGAATTAGGGGCCAAATAAGGCAAATTCTTTAAAATCAGTTTTCTCAATTTGGTCATGAGACATTGGATCACTTTTCTATGAACAGTGGTTTCGGTGCTCATGGGGGAAGGAGTATGACTCGTTAGTGGAAATAGAACAAATTGGTAAAACTACTTCCTGTGTTGGAATGAATCTGTTTCCCAGATTTGATCCTTGGGTGAGAGATTTTAGTTTTGTACAAACAGTGCATCTAACTTCCTTGGGGAGAAGGAGAGGGACCTAGTAGGGAAAATATACAAGTGTTTTAAATACTTTTCCTTCATTTTAAATTGATCAATTTCAGGGAGCTAAACCTGGTGAGTGATATAGACCCTATGGGCCTCTAGTTATATCTACAGTCAGAATATGCTTCATTTTACATATTCACATCCCAAAAATATGGTTACCCTTCCTGAGACAATCACACAGATTAGTGTATTGTTGGCCGCGAAGTGTGTTTGTTTTCAGATGGGTGGATGTAATGTTTATTAGCTTGAATCTTCAAAGAAGAGAGGGAGATAAAATATTTTCACCACATCAGCAGTTTTCAAGTGTTGAGGTTTTGGTAAAAGTATTAAAAGGCATCAGTACATCTCTTTGTAATAGTACTTAAGTACTGATATTCTGTATCACAGTCTTTCAGGGGTTACCTATCCCTTACTGTAGATGGTTTTAAACATTTTTGAAAAAGAGAAAATTATGGACTTGGATTTTCTGTGTTTAATACACTGTTCAGATTTTTGTTTAAGTGTTTAAATATATCCATACATTATTTTCAGATATGACTACTAGGGTACTGAAATTTGATATCAGCGTCCCTTTGGGGTTAATTATCATTTCCTGGAGTCAAACAAAGGACTACTTGGGGGGGGGGGGGAATCTGCTTTCTGATATATGGTTTATCTGTTTCATTTGTTACTGACATTCTGAGGCTAACTACGCTGTATTTTTACAGATGTAGCAGAGGCGGTAAACATCCCTGTTCTGATTGGCTCAGGAGTTACCAATGACAATTTACACATGTACTCTTCTGCCAGTGGCCTGATTGTTGGATCACATTTCAAAAAAGATGGACAATGGCAGAATGAAATTGACCCCTGGAGAGTTCACACATTTATGGAGGAAGTGGTAAAGCTACGGGAGTCAGACAATAGATAAAAGGCAATATCATCCAAGCTCTACATGATAATTGACTTTAATCAAATCACTTGTGTTTTGCATTATCTAAATCTGTTCTTAGAAGGTGGTTCTGAAGCTCCAATGTGTCTGAGCTATTGGAGACTTCATTGAAGGAGTGAGGAATGTAGCATAGCTGGACTAGGTCATCTTCTGATGCCTCAATTGTTGGGAATGATCTCTGGTTCAAATCTGGATCTGATTGTTGAATTTTCTTTCTTTTCAAGTACACATTCCAGCACAGTCTTTTGAGACATAAGAAGACACAATCTGCCAATCTAATTATGTCAAGACACTGTCTTCTGACACATGTCAGGGCACACCAGTAAAGGCAATTTCCCCTTAAACATATCAAGACACTGTCTTCTGACACATGTCAAGGCACTTTGTCTTCACACCAGTAAAGGCAATTTCCCCTTAAACATATCAAGGTACTCTCTTCTGACACATGCCAAGGCACTTTGTCTTGACACCAGTAAAGGCAATTTCCCCTTAAACATATCAAGGTACAGTCTTCTGACACATGTCAAGGCACTGTCTCTTGGCACATGTCAAAACTTGGTCTCCTGACACATTCCCTGCTGGCCCAACTCTGGTTACATACGGAATAGACAGGGCAATGTTTCATCAGAGGTAAGGTTAACATATGACACCTGCCTTTCATCTGTTTAACACTGATAACATTCATGAAAGCAGATGTTAAACTTGCCAGCCAACCAACCAACCAACCAACCAACAAACCAACAAACCAACCAACTAACCAGAGGTTAATTTCACTTTCACTCTCAGCTTTCTGGAACATTTCTTAGAAAACCTGAAGGCACAAATGAAGTAATTTGATTGGTTTAGAGAAGGTTTTAGGAGAAAAAACTGTCCAATCACAGACTGATATGCTCCTTTGAAGTTTACAAAGGAGCGACACCCAACTTCAAAATGCACAACATACTGTCATGCTTCCTGCAGATTAATTGATAAACCCATACAGTGAATATCAACAGACAAGTGTTGGAAGAGCCTTGACATACACCATAAACAATATTAGATTTTAAAAATTTAAAAGTTTTCGGCAGCTGTGTTATTAAAAACCTGATTGTGTTCCTTGTATTAGACCACACCTCTATGTTAATTTTCATCAAAATTGGACAACAACCAAATTTCCTCTCCCTGCGGCAGTCATCTTGAATTTTGAAAATAAAATGTCTCACACAAATATAGACATGTTCATCAGTTGATGTCCATTTGAAAAAAAGAATAGTTGAAAGCAGAACTTTGCTAAGCCATCTATGGTCATGCAAAGTTAACGTTGAATCAGATCTATGGTTTTCAAAAAATGTGCTTGGTAAAACGTGACTGATTAAAAATTAATAATCAGAAATGAAATTACTATTAATATGATGATACTAATTTGAATGTTTGTAGCTACTATACAACAAATGATCCAAGTATATATTGACTTAATATATTGACCACGAGAGAAGGGAAGGATTGGGGGTATGGTTGTTGAAGCTCAGCTGGGAAACTTTTTATTGATTTATTCGACTCTATGATATATGAAAATTTAATAGTATTGCAAAAAATTTGTTAATTTGGTGTGTTAGCTTATTTTTAAAAAATTTTTGCTGGCACATGTGGTGCCAAATAAAGTCTAGTCCTGATTAATTGTGATATCCATTTATCTATTAAAAATGGTAAAGAAAAGATAATACTTTCGTTTTTAGCTCACTGGTTACCAGTTGGGATCATTGTCTACAAATATACATTCTCTAACCAACTGGCTATTTAGTGTATACAATTATTAGAGGTCCAATTTTTTTTCAACATTTACACCATATTTACGATGTTTTAGACTTTTGTCTGTAGAAATACACCCTACACTCCTCCTACACAGCAGTATTTTTATAGATCTGTGTACGTACATTTTGTGTATCTCTTTCCTTCCTTTATTTGGATTGTTTTAATGTTCATTTCTAAGTTTCAACAAAATAAGACAATGTATTGATTTCTTTTTCGTTATTTACTGAATGATGCTTTTGATATCGGGACATTTCTGTGAAGATTGAATTGACAAACTGAAAAACTGGAGAGTTTACTTACTGCCTCCTTTCTCTCATCCCAGTCTGCACCACAGACAAGTGTAGTAATTGGACGAAATGTATCAGAATGTAACAGTAAATAAATATTCTTTAAGAGATTGTCGATTTTGACGTTTGTATTGATCTATCTCGGGTAGGATTTCCTCGGCTATCGGGAAATTACTAACTTGTCAGTGTCCCCAGTGCTAAATACACCTCGGCAAGAGATGAGCCGAGTACTCCGCTGATCCATGGAAGTGCCTACAGGGAAGACTTTTAATACCTTTAAAAGTTTCTGCTGTCAAGTCTAAATATTTTGATTAATGACCAAGGAGCTAGTATTGTTAGCTGTGAAGTAATGGATGTCAATCCCAAGTAACGAGAGACAAACAGTTTAGACAAGATGACATTTAATTCATCACAGATCATTTCTGGTCGATGTTCTTGTTAGGCAAAGAAATTGGGTTCAAATCCCTTGCCTCATCATTGACTGAGATTCTAGGATGATACATTCGTTTTATATGAGATATTTTGTTATTCTGTAACGTAACGTGTCTAATGAAATATAGAAAATCTCGCAATAGGGCATGTTTTATTTGTGTTGTAAATATCATGGGATTCTGATTTTGAATAATAATGCATTGTGACAAATGAGATTTCGTGCTAGTTTGTACTATAAATAGCATAAATACGGCTTTCAAAAGGGAGAACATTGTATGAAATAAATTGAATTCCGTTTTATCATCTGCTGGAAATCCTTAAAATTTCTGTTCCCATACCAAAAGACAGAGAATTTATAAAATATGATTTAGATATTGATGAAAGGATATTGTCATACTAGTATGTTGACGCATCGACGTGTTTGTAAACACGAGTCTGCCTTCTGCTTTTATATAAAATTTCAAGTTCTCAAAATGAATATCGTGGCATACAGAGAAACAAGAGTAGGAAGCATACATTCGGTACATCATACTGAAGAACCATCAAGTTAAGATGACGGCGATGAAAACTCATATTTCTACTTTATCAGTCAGCAGGCCAATTATCTCATATAAAACATGATATTGGAAAGAAACCATTCAATATTAATTATATGAGTGAAGGACAGACGAAGGAAAGTTTTTAATATTTATTAACTCTTCATGGAATTCAGTGTCCCACGAAAACATATAACAAGTAAGTCAATCAAGGCAGGTAACATTGTCCTGTAAGCTTGGCTGGAGTCTGCTGGAAACGTTGTTCGGGAATTCAACAATGATGTCGCCGAGTAGTGGTTATAACATTGCCAGTGATAACACTCCATAATAGTTAACGATTATTGTACATTTATCATTATCACCATTACTGGAAAGTTCTCATAACCAAAGATCAAACTTTCTTTTTATTTTTGAATGAGTTTTGAGAGTGGATATGCCAACTCTTCTATCATAAGCAGTTGTATCTGTGCCCTTCTTCAGTATTTATTTTCCAGAGATCAACAATACGCATCGGGGTGTTTAACCTTTGTTTGATATCACCAAGAATGACAGTTATTGATTAAGCCTGGATGGTGCAACTAGGCGAGCTAGCAATAGAAATAGACTCGTGTTTTTACCATAGCGTTATCTTAAAGAACAATTAAGACAATACCGAAACGTCAACATAATCTTGTTTTAAGCTCAAATTGCTGAAAGGTGGGTCAAATATGAATGAACCAATGCTTTACACGATGGCTTCTGACAGAAGAACAAGGAGAATAAGTGCATGTGTCTACAAGCGCAGAAATATTAAATCTATTGCGACATGTAAACACGATAGGTTGGGGAAGCAGAGATCGCATAGAATTTTATCTTTGGAAATTATATGAAGATAGTGTTTCACTAATTGAGAGAAAAACTTAAAGATAATACCAACATGTGAACATAATCATAATCAAATCTCAAATTTAATAAAACCAGGACAGAATATGAGCAAAAGAAAGATTTACACGGAGACTCCTGAAAAAGTACAAAGGGTACGTGTCTTCAGCTTCATCGTTGACACTCGCTGTGTAAAGCTAGCTCAATTCAAGTAAGTAATGTCACGTTCAATTTTTCAATGAGAACACTATGACGACCATCAAATTTCCCTGTTACTTTCATCCTTTGAAACCCTGTCAGTTGATGACTTCTTGCAAGAAAATGGTGACAATGGGAATGGGCCCTTGAACATCGAATCAACACTATATGTTGTGTTATAGGGGTTATTACTATCCAGAATTATAAATTCACAGTATTGAAATTGATATCATCACGTGCATCATACAGCTTGGTGGAAAGTTATTCATGTCGTTTAGTTTTATGAAGATACTGAGATAAGCGGCTGTTGTAGAAGAGTGTGCTAAGTGTTGAATTTCTAAATTTTTCAATTCTGGTGAGTATATAAAATGAACGTGGTCTATGAATTTCTTGTTATTTAAAGACGAGACGTCATCAATATATCTTGAAGTGAAATTATACAACTTTGCAAGGATATTCAACCTCATGTGAAAACAAAAACAAGTCGACCAACGGAGGGGCGCAGTTAGTTCCAATAGGTATGTCAACAGTCTGTTGGAAGATCTTCCCACCAAACTCGGTCATTGTTATGATTTCGTCTGTTGTATATTTCTTCTTTGATTTGGACGTTATTGTTTTACGAAATACGCTTCAGTATAGTTCACAACCTTGTATTTGTACCGATTTTCATCTTTCTCGGAAAAGACAGGAAAACTATCATACCAAGAGAACGAAGGCGTTTCTTTAGTTTAGAATGGGGTGTACTGGATGGAAAATAAAATTTTATTATAAAAGAAATGTTTACTCACCTTTTTTCGTGTGATATCAGGAAATAGTAGAGGTAAGTGTGAGGTATTTTGGTGTTTTGTCAGAAAATTATGAAATATTAAAAAAATAACTATGATTTCAAAATCAAGTAAGTCCACGTTTGTGTTTTGGATTTCCTAAATAGATTTTCCTTCTCAATGATGGACCCTAGATATAGATCCACAATGGAAGTGAATCATTGTGAAAAAGGCTTTCATTCCCCTCGAACTGGAGAAGAGCGAAATCCATCGTCATACTATAGCGCATTTTGTGGAAAAAAACATCCACATCAAAAAAAGAAATATTCGAAGGAAGAAGTTATCAGAAAGATAGAATTACTGGTTGACAAGATCTCCCTCGAGTTTGATGGTAAGATCTTCCAACAGACTATCGGAATACCCATAGGAACTAACTGTACCCCTCTGTTTTTGCCGACTTGTTTTTAATTTGACAATGAATTTATGAAAACTGATCACAAGAACCTTGCAAAGCCTTTCAATTTCACTTTTTAAGAATTTATGATTTTTTTAGGAATAGGTATACACCCACCTGTACTGGAAATCAAGGATACGACAGATTTTTCTGCATCAACACTTCATCCAATCCTTCCACTACGAAATAAAAAGGAACAGCTTTTCACCAAATTGTATGATACTTGTAATGATTCGAATTCCTTGATGATTTCGATGTCTTTCAATGGCTTGTTCTCATCACGATTTTCTCAACACGGGGTTTCGAGAGATAGAAGTTGATAAAAATGGCGAGGAAGTTTTCGGTCGTTACAGTTATCTCATTGATAAGTATTCTTGTTGTTCTCATTTGGGGAACATAACATTATTTATTAGGAAGGATCAAGAATAACACTGTGGGTGACATCGATAAAGCAGAAGACACTTACTCTTCTGGAACACCTGGTCCTATTCTCCTTGTACTTTTTCATTGATCTTCGCGTAAATTTTTCTTTTTTTCATATTTTGCCCTGTTGAATTTGGGTTTGGATTATGGTTCTGTTGGGATGTTGATATTTTCTTGTTGTGATTGAAATCTTTTCCTGTATCATTTACCTAAATCTCTCTTGATTTTTCATAATACTGTTTATATCACCAGCCACTATATGTCACGAGATGTGGAATTACAACTGGATTAGGAGGTTAGTGTTCATAGATAGAACCCCTTGAACAGTCACTATCAGGTAGTCTAAGTCACTCCCTGCATCCATGACACCTTCCAAGTAGTCCCCGAACCTCGTCATTTATATATGATTCCTTTAGTGATATTTATAACACAGACACGACGAACGTACGAGATGTACACCGGACATGGTGGCTACGTTTTTTAGAGTTGTTAAGATGTTTTATAATTTACCATTGTATACGGATGGGTGTCGTCTCCGTGGAATGGCACATGTTTGCTTTACTTCGTCCTGGATTTGATAGACTTTCCAACAGTCTCGACGGTCACTGCAGCTTTTGCCGGAGTAAATATCTAAACTATGGGAAATCATGGACAATATATATATCAAAATAATAAAAATTGAACTGCTGATAAAATTGATGATTGTCATAGTGTTTCACTGCAGATTGACGACCATTATTTTGTTTCAGGGAATAATATGTAAATCAAACACTGCAGAATGAAGATATTATTTTTGTTTCAGCTACTCAACGGTAAATCTAACTGCAGAATGATGGTCATTCTTTTGTTTCAGGAAGCTCTCAAATTCTGTTATTTTAAGCGTCAGGTGGCGTATATGAACATATCAGGCGGATTTTATGTTCCCAAATTTTAAATGTGATAGTTTCCATTGATGGTGATCATGTAGCTGCCATGTTGTCATCACCGACCTGTAAATCTCGGATTCATGTTTTGTTTATTTATCTTAGGTTATCAATATTAATCACAGAAATACATTACCCCAAAATTGGGAATCCAGTTAATGGTGACTTGAATATGTTTCGCGGAGAAATCAGGACTATTACCATGTAGTAATAGAAAATTCACAATACTTCTGATGTTTATCTAACAGCTTACAAGGTTATGTATCGCTGTTGGTTTACTCGGCAGTAAGGATCGAGGTATGTGACAGTGTTAACAGTTTTTTGTCCTTGTTGGGTCAAGGAGGTATGTGAGGTCGGCATGGTCAATAGATTTCCTGTTCAAAGACAAACAAGCCTGGTGAAAATGAGGTTGATATCTGCCCTGAAAGGTTTGATGTCGAAGACTTAATCTCGTATATCAACAAACACGTACGGTCTAGAGAGGGATATAACATATCCCTATGCACATGCCTGAACTAAGACAAACTAAACCTTGAATTTAATTCTTCTCACGATTCGCCCTTAATATATATTATTTTGTCCTTATTCGTGTGCTTTACAAAATGTTTGATTACCACTTTCTGAATGAGAAAAAGTGTTTAAAAATTTTCTCGTTTCCATCTAACCAATCTCAATTTTATACATAACATGGTTGGTTTCTATATTGTAAGGGATCTCACATCATGTGACTTCTAAACAAGGTGCGATCGTTAGAATAATGGAATTATTCTTAGGCTAATTACAAATATTTAGAATGCTTGTACAACTCTTTCCTTTCCTCGACTAGAGAGTTGTTAATAGCAAATTTCATAATTGCGCACTGCATGGCGTCTTCTTCCATAACAAGGAAAGATGAGAGTTGATAATTGCCCTATTTATCTTAAAAGTGAATGTTCACAGTAACGTATCCTGTCACTAATTACACCAGCATTATCAAGGGTTGTCAATACTTTACCTTCCAATATTATAAGTGGATGTCGCATGTCTCGGCGTTATCACAGAGCGGATGTTTGTGTGTTACAGAGATAAGCTGCCAGGACAGATCATGGCTGACTTACCTAACATCCTTTGACTGTAATGGACACGGAATCACTCACAATCAAAGTAACCGTATTACATATTGTACTGCGGGCAGGGTCTCTTTTTAAAAAAATACTAGCAATGCGATGACGATGACGACCATAGAACTTCCCCAGTCTTCATCGAACTACATCTCTTGAAACTCAGTATTATGAGTTTATCTCGCACCTCTTGATATTGGGAACAAGCCTTTGCATATACATCAACGAAGACAGTTTAACCATGATTTTAATTAGGAATACCAGAAATGGAAAGTTCAAAATAGGGATATCGGAATTGTTATGCTTATACAGTTTGCTGGAAAGCTGTCTCTGTTGGTTGGTTTTCAGGTAAAATTTGCCCTGTAAAGTGTAATGGGGCGAAAGACGAATTTCCTTATGTAAATTAACGTAACGAGCATTGTCCAGTAAAGGCCTACATTTGGACTTTCCATTAGTCGAAATCCCGTATCTGCGGACTCCCTCCATTATTAACGTTGTCTTTGAAGCCAAATTTTATTACCTGCTGTATGGCTTTTGGAAATTAAAACATATTTGACATAATTTTGTCGGATGCAAATGGTTCATTAGGCTTATAAGGTGTATGGAGACATCTACAATTCTCTTTAACCGGAGAAGGTTCAAAGGTTAACAAGGGCACCAGGTAATCAATGAAGATGATTATCAAATACAATTTTCAGTAAATTAACATTCATAAAATTAATTTTTACTTGATTGTGTATGTGATATATATTTGTTTCAAAAGATTTTGAAAAGATAATATGAAAATCATAATGCAATGCATGCATGTCGTTATGCGATTCTTCTGAGTGGTATATAAAGGAGAAAGTAACAAATTTTCATCATGAAAAACAAACTTTAAAAAAAATTGAACAATTTATTTGCAAGTGGTGCTCCTCTTCAAACATGACAATATAAGGTATCGGACAAGGTCACGCTTCAGTGTACACACATAAATGTCATGCCATCATGATTCATGAACATTTTGATTTTTAATTAAGTTTCGAAAAAAAATGCTCTGCCTCCATTGTTAAGAATTCTTAATGTGTACATGGAGTTGAAAAATCCCGTTTTCTTTCTCCACAAAGTAATTATAATGTGATTAACATTACTGTTTATGTCTAGACAATCATGTATTACACGTATATAATTATCACAGCTGTTCGTCCAGACAAACAGGTGTCACACCTATATAGTGATCACAGCTGTCCGTCTAGACAAACAGGTGTCATACCTATAGAATGATTAGAGTGATTTGTCTAGACAAACAGGTGTGTCACATCTATATAATGATCACATCTGTTCGTCTAGACAAACACGTGTCATACCTATAAAATGATCAGTTATTTGTCTATACAAACAGGTGTGTCACATCTATATAATGATCACATCTGTTCGTCTAGACAAACACGTGTCTTCCCTATAAAATTATCAGTTATTTGTCTTGACAAACAGGTGTGTCACATCTATATAATGATCACATCTGTTCGTCTAGACAAACACGTGTCTTCCCTATAAAATTATCAGTTATTTGTCTTGACAAACAGGTGTGTCACATCTATATAATGATCACATCTGTTCGTCTAGACAAATACGTGTCATACCTATAAAATGATCAGAGTTATTGGTCTAAACAAGCAGGTTTATCGAACCTGTTTAATGATCAGAGTTTTTCGTCTGGACAAACACGTATAATACCAATATATTGATCAGAGATATTTGTCTGAACAAGTAGGCGTGCCACACCTGTATCAATTTCAATGCAATTTATCCAGAGAGTATTTATATATATATATTGATAAGAACCGTTTGTCTTGACAGAAAATTAGTCAAACTTGTATTATGATCAGAACTTCTCAGAATCACTTGTCCTGACAAACAGGATTGTCACACTAAGATAATGATCATATCTGTTTGCCCAGATAGGGTTGTGAACTTGGTCAAGCATGTATGTTACACCAATATAAACAGGGTGTCACATCTATATACTGATCAAAGCATTATGTAAAGGCAAAAAACATTTGTCATACCTTGGAAATAGAATGTGACATGTCAAACGATGCATGAAAATTAAACAAAATATTAAAAACATATAATGATTTAATCCTAGCGTTCAGTTGCAGTTATAAACATACATTACTATACACGTTTTATAATGACGTCATGATGTTACACTCAGACACGAACATACATGGAGTGACCATATTGAGCAATGTATAGAAAAAGAATCTGTAACAAATATCAAGAGAAATGCACAGCTACATACAGTATTCCATGTATCCACAGCAACCATTCATACTCTAACCAATCACAACAGTCATCCAAATCACGTGATCTTTTAACGTATATACTGCGTCACATCTGTACACATATAGGCAGCATATGTTTCAATCAGCCAAAACCTCGATGCAAATATGTATATATATACATATATATATATATATACATATACAAATAGTCGGATATAATTTACTACACCTTACAAAACAAACGAATTCCAGACAATACAAGATAAGCGGTAGAACACCATCGATTTGGTTTAATAATTTAGGCAGCAAACGTCAGGTATCTATAAAACTATTCCAGACAGTGAAAGAATAAAAATGTTTATTATTAAATAAAATCTAGGAATAATATTCCAAAAAAGAAAAAAAAACCTTCGAGTTCAACAAGTCATAAAGCCTATTGTATACACCAATCACAGTGTCTCATGTTAGCTATAACCCACCAGTCAGAAATTGTCTGATGTCAACAAAAGCCCGTCAATCACAAAGTGTCTCAAGTTAACAGAAATCTATCAGTCACAAAGTGTCTCATGCCAACTAAAATCCATCAGTCACAAAGTGTCTCATGGCAACTAAAATCCATCAGTCACAAAGTGTCTCATGCCAACTAAAATCCATCAGTCACAAAGTGTCTCATGCCAACTAAAATCCATCAGTCACAGTGTCTCATGCCAACTAAAATCCATCAGTCACAAAGTGTCTCATGCCAACTAAAATCCATCAGTCACAAAGTGTCTCATGCCAACTAAAATCCATCAGTCACAAAGTGTCTCATGCCAACTAAAATCCATCAGTCACAAAGTGTCTCATGCCAACTAAAATCCATCAGTCACAAAGTGTCTCATGCCAACTAAAATCCATCAGTCACAAAGTGTCTCATGCCAACTAAAATCCATCAGTCACAAAGTGTCTCATGCCAACTAAAATCCATCAGTCACAAAGTGTCTCATGCCAACTAAAACCCACCAGTCACAGTGTCTCGTGCTAACAAAAAGCCATTCAGTCACAAGGTGTCTCATACTTACTAAAACCCACCAGTCACAAAGTGTCTCACGTTAGCCTGTCACAGGCACCATTATATGGTATAACATCAAAGTCATTTTTTTTGTTTTGTTTAACAAATGCATCAATGAAATCCATCTTCTGAGTTACGTCCCTTGATGGTACATTGTCGACAACAAATTTACTGTATAATTAAGTATCTTTGTGATATTAATATCAGTGATAAAACTGATAAACATAAGTACAAATACTGATTATAGTTATATTACTATAGTAACCTAGTTTATTGTAACCATAGCAACAATGTTCATATCAGTATATTAACCTTAACCATAGTAGTGTCTGTAGTTATATATCTCTCACAATTACCATGACGACACGAATAATATTAACAGTTATATACTCATTACCATGGCTGTGATGTTTCTACTGTAGTAGTCAAGATATAGTAATCATAAGATTACCATGGTAAAAAAAGGACTACAAATATATAATTATCGAATGGCTGACATGGAAACTAGTGTGGTAAGACTACATAAGTATTACCATGGTGACTTTTGGGTTCGAAGTATATGGGTACCAAGATAACCATGTTATTGTCAAATAGCGACAGCCAAAGTACATTTACCTTAATTACTGTGACTATGACCATTCCACTTCCATAATGGCCTGTACCTACATTTGAACGTGTTGTTTACTTATTACCTTATCATTTTTGTAGCCGGAGTCACGTGACCATGGTTTGCTGGATCAAGTGTTCGGTTATGTCCAAAACACTAGAGTGGTAAGATCCGAACGGACCCTACTTCGTAATCCAATATCTAAAAGTTGAGAAATATACAGTAATTGTAATAAACATATGTATGTAGAACTTGTGTCACACATCGGCAACTCTATAGATATCCCCACATCACATTAACTTGTGGTGGATTGGTCACTAGTCAGATCTTGCCGTTGGTCTGGAGCGATGACTGGAATTAAGGCCTCGTAAGTTTGGTTGGACGAGGGGTCTTCTCGTGTATTAGGGTCAAGGTGTTCGTAGGAATGTGAACTTTCGCCTTTATTTAAGTTTGTATAATTTTCTGTTATATTGTCATTGTTGACTCCATCAACATTTATATACTGACTTTGACCCAAAGGTTCACCCTGACTTGCCTCCTCAGGTGGCGGAGGACAGCTCGGCTGCACCGTAGATGTACTAGCTACTTGATTAGCATCATCGATACCAAAATGGTTGTTATCTATGTTGGAGTCTTTCACTACTTTTGATGACATGATATCGGAGGACTCGGAATCATCCTGAGGTTTCATATCACTGAAGTCTGTAAGGTGGAGCAGATCCATTTCTTGTGTGTCTGCTTTGTTATTGGATTGTGACAATAGCCGGTCAGCCATGATGAGGTTACCGTCCATCGGCTGGACGGGTTCTGTACAACAAACTGGCTTAGATTCAGTCTGGTCACTACTGACACCGTTATGAACAGGGAGAACCCCATTTGTGTGTGGGAGAGAATTCTCCCCTACTAACTTGGCATCATTTTCATCAGGATCACAAACTTTGTCAAATATCGGTAGTTTTTCCTTTTTCCAGTCTTGGTTGACGTCGCAGATTTCCTCATATTCTGATTCGACAAGCTTAAGGTCGTCGCTGACATAGTCATTCTGCCCAGCGCTGTCAATGTTACGTCCAATCTGTTCAACACCTGAAATTATAGCATAGGAATGAGTCTCTCCAGATGTTGTGGTGCTCATAACATCTTAGTTCAAATCAGTCACACATTGGACAAGCCTAAATATAAAGACAATACAACATCTGTAAATACATTTGTATGAAGATTTCAATAATTCTATCTTTATATGAGAATATGGGACAAAACTATTCAGGAGTAATCATATATTTATATCAGACAATGGGACAGAACTATAAAGGAATAATTCAAATCACGTATTAGCTAACATGAGATAAAAATTCGAACTTTACACAACATAAAACAAGACTATATAATTGAGACAAGTTTAGATCAATATATCTGATCTATAAAGAGATACGAAGCCATTTGTACAGGATATATAGACATCCTTCATTGAAATATGGCTAGACTTGGATGTCCATTAACCTCACTGCAACACTCAGAGTGATCGAATGCTATAATAAAGACTTCATTCACTCTCTAGCTATGATAGTGGGAATCTAAGGACGGGACAGCATCTACTCTGTCGGTGTCCAGAAGAGGACGATTAAAGACTGGGAGAATACAAAATTGACAGTGTAGACAATATCCACTTTCTCAGTGTTCTGAAGAGGAACATCAAGGACAGGGAGAATACAGAACCGACAGTTTAGACTACTTTCGCTTTCTTGGTTTCCAGAAGTGGACGATTTAGGACGGGGAGAATACAGAACCATAGCATTGACAACATCCACTCTCTCGATATCCAGAAGAGGACGATTAAGGACGGGGAGAATACAAAATCGACAGTTTAAATAACTTTCGCTTTCTCGGTGTCCAGAAGAGAACGATTAAGGACGGGGAGAATACAGAACCATAGTATTGACAACATCCACTCTGTCGGTGTCCAGAAGAGGACGATTAAGGACAGGGAGAGTACAGAACCATAGTATTGACAACATCCTATCTCTCGATATCCAGAAGAGGAAGATTAAGGACGGGGAGAATACAAAATCGACAGTTTAAATAACTTTCGCTTTCTCGGTGTCCAGAATAGGAAGATTAAGGACGGGGAGAATACAAAATCGACAGTTTAAATAACTTTCGCTTTCTCGGTGTCCAGAAGAGAACGATTAAGGACGGGGAGAATACAGAACCATAGTATTGACAACATCCACTCTCTCGATATCCAGAAGAGGAAGATTAAGGACGGGGAGAATACAAAATCGACAGTTTAAATAACTTTCGCTTTCTCGGTGTCCAGAAGAGAACGATTAAGGACGGGGAGAATACAGAACCATAGTATTGACAACATCCACTCTGTCGGTGTCCAGAAGAGGACGATTAAGGACAGGGAGAGTACAGAACCATAGTATTGACAACATCCTATCTCTCGGTGTCCAGAAGAGGACGATTAAGGACAGGGAGAATACAGAACTGACAGTAGACTTGACCCACGGTGTACAAAAGTATAAATGGTCACTCCGTCCCGATTCCCTGTAAACGATTAATAACACAGTGTTTAAGTTACCATTGGTCGCTTCATAGGCGTCTTGACTCCTACTCCAGAAGATGAAACTGCAATAAAAAGAAAATCCGTTCAAATGTTTGAAAGGTTCTGTATGTTCACATTTACTTAACTTTTTTTCTGAAAGTTTTATGAAAATTACGAAATTTACTGAATTATGGGCTAGATTCCGACATTTTTTTTTCGATCACTTCGGATTTTCCTCAGTCGCCTCCTCGACCCTCAACATCACTGACGTGTTGTAAAAGGACGAAACAACTGTATGATGCAGTTTAATTCATCATTTGGCCCTGTTATATATAACTCTGAATTGTTTTAAAATGTGCCATTCACTTGTGTGTCTTACAATCATGAACAAATACCAGCATTATGGCATGAACTGTTCGTAAGAATATCGTATATGAACAAAATCATAGGGGATGTAATACTGATGTGGAGATGCGGGGGATGGACCAGACAGGTTGATCGCTGTCAGTCCAAGTACTAGTTTAATTACAAGCCTTTTGGTACACACAGGATAGCACTATATGTCTGACAAAATTATTGATGATAATCCTGTATGAGAATAAAAACCAATCGATAGTTTGGCACCGTCCTGTGAATAATTGTAATGCTTTCTAGACCAAGTAAACATGATAGCTTTGATACAACCTCGTGTAGGAAACATACGACAGCACTGTTTGTCTCCATATTGTTTGGAGTTGTAAAAGGATTTGATTAAACAATCTGTGTGTTATTCATAATAAAATATCAGGAATATCCGTTATCACATAATATGGTGTTGATCATTGAGTAAACAGGTAATCGGACAGCCACGTTCACTGCTACAACTATCAAACACTACATCTGAAACGGTTCAGATATTCTTTACTATTGATCACAAATATTGACCAAACAAATTTTCAGCTGTATGAATATAACCATTACCTGCTGTATTGTTTTTGTGATCTGGTATAAATAAACTTTTAATAATGTTTTTTTTTTTTCTTTTTAAGCCTGAAAAAGAATGTTGTTGGTGAATTACCAGTATATCGATGTTCACCTGTTCTCTGTAGTGTTTACTGTTTAAAATGGACCGTTGTTTTATCATATATTGTAACGATTTCACACCCTGAGCTGGTCTTCGCCATGTGGTAGTTACCTTGAATTTCTATAGACAAGTCTTGCAATTCTATTGACAATTCGAATCCGACAGAAATTTTCAGCGAGATAAGTAACATTAAAGACATAACGTATTTATATACAAACATTTGTTTCGGCTGAAGTTAGTAGTGCTCTGTCACCTTGTATTACCACAAGGCTGGCAATTTGATACAATGATGTTCATGTAATCTTTGATAGAAATATTTATTTACTTAGCTGTATGATGCAGTTTAACTCATAGTTTGGCTCTACTCTATCTCACTCTAAATTATGAAAAGGTGCTATTCACTTGTATGTCTTTTATACAATCTTTAAGGTAGCAGGTGATAGACACTGATGATGGACTTTAAGTCCCGATGTTTGCCGTAACATCCTTGCCACGTTTTAATTATCTCGAATAGTGGCACGGTTCAGAAAATACACATGTATTTGACCCTATTCTAAAATTAGCTAATATATGAAAAATACGAACTTTATCTAATAATGAGGCTGCTGCACCTCCCCGTCTAGATTTTGCCTTTTTGATCACTTTGGATTTTCCTTAGTCGCCTCCTCGGCTTCAGTATTTAGGCCCTTAGCATGCTGACGAATTCTAGAAGGACTATACACTGTATGATGTAATTTAACTCATACTTTGGCTCTACTGTATCTCACTCTAAATTATGTAAAAGGTGCTGTTCGCTTGTGTGTCTTTTGTACAATCTATGTTATAAACATTTTACTTCATTAACGAGTGAGTATTCTCTGGATATCAATATGTCGAGGTAGAGAGTTATCTTAGTATTACAGGTCTACCAAGTTCTCGTTATAATACTGCTGTGTATAGGAACCAAGCTTAAGACAGTACACTAGGTGTCAAGCCAGTGTCAAATAAAGCACAACAATAATGGCAGTATATGGAGTATCAATTTGTCTATTGTCGGTATACAGAGTACCAAGTTTGGAACTATCAACTAAACAGTCTACCGATGGTTTCTATATCGGGTAAATCAGATGCATTGAAACCCAAGGTCATAAGGGAGCTCTTAAAACCTCCGACGTAAGAAAGATAGGCTTCGTATTGATTTAAACAGTATTATATTCTTACTGTTACGGTTTTGTTTGGGGATTCAATTTCTCAGGAACATAAATGGGTCTGTTTGCTCCGATAAATTCACGTGCAGAGATGCTTCCTTTTGTTTGTATATCGTGTGTTATGTTGATGTGTCTAGTTCTTGAATGTAGAAATTCAATGAAACACCCCTTGAAAGTTGTACTGAAAGAGAAATCTGTTACGTTTAGTGAAAAAAATCCAATCAGTGGTTGTCGATGGCGCAATGTATCAACTGGCGCAGGGCGCTTGAAGAGGGTGTTGAGTACCAGTGTACTTATTGTGTTCGGTAGGCGATGTCATTAAACATTTATTCAGGGCTAGAAAGTCGGGTGCGTCAGGTTCTTTGTTGTCTACATTTAAGTATACGAACTTGTTACATAAAAACGATTAAAGAGTCTGATTCTCATGTTTAATGATGTTGTGGTGCATGGTATTAGATTGTCTACACACGACATTCAGCCTGTTTGTCTCATGTTTTACCAGGACTAACCTCAATTGTTTTATAAGTCCTTGGTAAACATTGGGATATGTGACAGTCTGGTTTGACCATGAGAAAATATATCAGACATAAATAACGTTACATGAACAGCATCTTGTCTGATACATGTGGATATATCATTCATTGGTCATGGTTCTTCTGTTACATTACAGTGTCATTAAACCTCAACTAAAAGCTAACACTTCGATGTTTTACTTCAATACAATTAAGGGAGAGATATCTTAAGTTTCTTTGCAAAAAGGCCATAAAGGCGTGTCGTTACATTTTTTGACATGAGAATAAATGGCAAAAATGTGACAAGCATAATTTAAAGTGAAGAACACTACACTATTGCTTTCAAACTCTGGCACCACCTTATGCAGTATTTTCATGGCGCCCGCTATTCTAGAAGCAATCCAGCGCTAGATGGGGTAGCCATGTTTGAAACTAGCTGGGGTAGAAATGTTCTGGTAATTACTTAGTGGCAGTTTCCTGGCACTAGCTAGAGAAGAAGTTCTGACATTAGCTACAGTAGAAGTTTTTAGCAATTGCTTGATAGCAGTTTTCTGGCATCAGCTAGGGTAGAAGTTTTCTGGCAATTGCTTGGTGGCAGTTTTTCTAGCACTAGCCAAGGTTTAAGTTCTCTGGCACTAGCTATGGCAGAAATCTCTGACACCCGCTTCTCTAGAACATTGTTAGTGATTACTTGGTGACAGGTTTCTTGTACCAGCTAAAGATTTTTTTCTGGCACTAGCTACGGCAGACAATCTCTACTAACTAGAGAAGCAATTTCTGACCTTCACTAGTCTTTTCCTGTATCAACGAGTGTAAAATTTCGCAACCACTGTTGATGTCAACCATTAATGTGATATTTTTTACTACTATGACGCAATATATTTCTATGATGTCAGACACTACTATGATGTCAAACATTTTTATAATGTTAGACATTGCTACGATATCAGACATTTCTTGATATCAGACATTGCTAAGACGTCAGACTTTTTATGAAGTCAGATATTGCTATGATGTCAGACCAAATATAAAATGTTATCAGGATTTCAAAGCTATGATGCCAGACTTCTATAACACTGTCAAGCATCGATTCTAGTAGTAGAATAGACTATATATACACACCCATCTTCAGCTAGACAGGCAAAAAGAATTTTATTGAAAATCTATACGTATACGTCACAAACAAGGGTAAAGATGACATATCTTTGAAAGGCTGTGTACGGAAAAGGCATGTTCTACTTGTAAACGTAACCAAAGAGAAGATGCCATCTTTGAAATCATGTGAATAATCCCAAGGGTTATCCATGGATTGGAATAACAGGCTTTCCTCGTCACGGAGATAAGCTAGTGACTAAGTCTATGGAGTGATTGACGGGCCTTTATACATGGTAGTCGTGTACACAAGGGACCTAATGGATTTTTCATCCTGTATTGATAATCTCCGACAAAGATTTTACCAATTATTCCACTATTTGCCCATTTTCATAAAAGGGTCTCAACATTTTTTTCTTCGTTTTCAGTCTATAATGAAGTGCTATTGTAATCTAATCACGATATATTTTGTGCCTGTAAAAGCACAAGCGTAGCCTAACATGACATGATTTGTAAAGGCATTTGGATTTTTGCATGTTGTTTTTACATTTCTGTATGAAATATTACTTTAACAAGAGGAAGCCACATATGATTTACAATGTCAGCATGATCTAGTAAAGTGTGTTAAATGACATTGTGAGTATCAGTACAGGTAGTCAGTAACCGACAGTATTCAGTGATATTCAATGTTATTTAAATTTATAGATATATGACGTTACCGATTTGTAGATCGGATTAGCCTCAGACAATAACAAATAGATTGATGAATTAAGACGAAATTCAATATAATGGTTCTAATCTACTATATCTTTTCTTTAGTTTGTAATGAAGGGTGATAATCATACGTATGTCTGTAAATGTAATGCTTGTTTGAAGTGAGAATAAGAACTTATATTGAAATACCTGCACTTCTTAATTCTTTGAAATAATGTCATTACACATTAAAACTATTATAACTAGTCCCGTAAAGATGAAACAGCTGTATGGTACACTTTAATATCTCATTATACATTAAAACTACCATTACTAGTCCCTTAAAGGTGAAATAGCTGTATGGTACACTTTAATACCTCATTACAGATTAAAACTATCATTACTAGTCCCTTAAAGATGAAATAGTTGTATGGTACACCTTAATATCTCATTACACATTAAAACTATCATTACTAGTCCTGTAAGGTTGAAATAATTGCATATTTTTATATCTTATACTGCATCTATATGTTATTGGTAATTTGTATCGAAAAGTGTGTGAAATCTATCTCTCAGTATGAACAGTATATACAAAGGTATTACATTTTTCTGACATCACTTCATCCCGTCACCATCATCATGACAGTTTGGTGTGTGTGACAGTACCGTACCTGTTTCTCCGTTTGTGACAGAAGCTGATGATAAACACCAGGCCGATGATGATGAGGACTGCTGTGGCTGAGCCGAATGTGATGGCGAGAAATCGCTCGTCTGATTCATTTAGACCATTGTTACGTGCGGCTGCTGTAAAACGAAAAATTAAAACATGTTCAAGAAATCTTAATATCATAATGTCAGAGCACAGTTAATAACGAGCTTCTATATCACCAAATCATAGAACATAACTGCTGAATAGTCAACCCAGCAGTGATCAAAATATTTCTACAAATATCTATCCTGATAGACAGTAAATTTTATAAGGCCATTTTCTATAATAAAGTTGCCAGAATAGTACTTAAAACAACATCAATGAAGAACCATTTCACTCTTATCAGTGATCATTTAATTAGAAACGAGAATGATTTACTACTAATATCATGACTCCTTTCATGTTTTAATAATTAAATATTTCCTGTTATAAAATTCAGTGAAAAAGAAACTCATTGGCGTGAAATATAAAACTGATTTATATTTAAGTTTTACTAAAGTGCCGATAAAATCTTTGTGTCTCTTTGAAGCCTGCACTCCATTGTAATATTACCATTTCTATTGATTATTGGGACCAGATAGCCAGAATCAATGGAGCTCTCTAGTGCTAGAGATAAATAAGGACTGACGACCCACTAAAATATCATTAACGATTAACAAAGGCAAAAATTACTGCCAAAAACAGATTAAACTTTCCGGAAACAAGAAATACTCAAATATTTTAAGGAAAACGTTTAGAACATCCTCTGAAAGAATATATCCTGATTTGCAGAAAATTAATTACTGCTTTATATATCAGAATATTATCCATAACAGAAGTTTATCTGTCAATCCAATCGGAAAATAATTATCTTGTCATCTAAACGTGATCAAGTGTTTGTGACAAGGCTGTCACCGACAGGGCTCACTGTCCTACGGCAGCACCACACCGGCGTGCATTCTTTATTTAATACTCAATTACATGGATCCATTTCACTCATTAATGACAGTGTGTCCCGGGAATTCTGAAATCTTACCTGCTATCTCATCATCATTGACAATAACACACACCTGATCGCTCGACAATATATCATTTTTATACACGATAGAAAAATGAATCGTTTCATCTACAAGGTTTACCCAATCACAGGCCTGGATAATGATGGATACAGAGGAGAAAAAAGATAATTACAAGGGAGATTTCCAGGCTGATATTGACATGTATAGTGTAGGCAGGAAATGAAGACTGGTCAGAAGCTCGGCACAATTTGTTTTAGGGAGTTAATCTAGGTAATTGGTCATCCATTGTCACCAGGTCTCTGAGCGCTTCAGGTGACACCCAGGGATCATGCAATGATCTAGTGTAAGGCGAGACTCGGGGATCAGGCAGGTATCTGTTATGGAGCGAGAATCGGGGATCAGGCAGGTATCTATTATGGTGCGAGACTCGGGAATCAGACAGGTATCTATTATGGTGCGAGACTCGGGGATCAGACAGGTATCTATTATGGAGCGAGAATCGGAGATCAAGTAGGTATCTGTTATGGAGCGAGACTCGGAGATCAGACAGGTATCTATTATGGTGCGAGACTCGGGAATCAGACAGGTATCTATTATGGTGCGAGACTCGGGGATCAGACAGGTATCTATTATGGAGCGAGAATCGGAGATCAAGTAGGTATCTGTTATGGAGCGAGACTCGGAGATCAGACAGGTATCTATTATGGTGCGAGACTCGGGGATCAGACAGGTATCTATTATGGAGCGAGAATCGGAGATCAAGTAGGTATCTGTTATGGTGCGAGACTCGGGAATCAGACAGGTATCTATTATGGAGCGAGAATCGGAGATCAAGTAGGTATCTGTTATGGTGCGAGACTCGGGGATCAGACAGGTATCTATTATGGAGCGAGAATCGGAGATCAAGTAGGTATCTGTTATGGTGCGAGAATCGGAGATCAGGTAGGTATCTGTTATGGTGAGAGACTCAGGAATCAGGCAGGTATGTATTATGGTGCGAGACTCGGGAATCAGACAGGTATCTATTATGGTGCGAGACTCGGGTATCAGGCAGGTATCTGTTATGGAGCGAGAATCTGAGATCAAGTAGGTATCTATTATGGAGCGAGACACGGGGATCAGACAGGTATATATTATGGAGCGAGACTCGGAGATCAGACAGGTATCTATTATGGAGCGAGACTCGGGGATCAGGCAGGTATCTATTATGGTGCGAGACTCGGGAATCAGGCAGGTATCTATTATGGAGCGAGACTCGGGGATCAGGCAGGTATCTATTATGGAGCGAGACTCGGAGATCAGACAGGTATATATTATGGAGCGAGACTCGGAGATCAGACAGGTATCTATTATGGAGCGAGACTCGGGGATCAGGCAGGTATCTATTATGGTGCGAGACTCGGGGATCAGGCAGGTATCTATTATGGAGCGAGACTCGGGGATCAGGCAGGTATCTATTATGGAGCGAGACTCGGAGATCAGACAGGTATATATTATGGAGCGAGACTCGGAGATCAGACAGGTATCTATTATGGAGCGAGACTCGGGGATCAGGCAGGTATCTATTATGTCGCGAGACTCGGGAATCAGACAGGTATATATTATGGAGCGAGAATTGGAGATCAAGTAGGTATCTATTATGGAGCGAGACTCGGGGATCAGGCAGGTATCTATTATGGAGCGAGACTCGGAGATCAGACAGGTATATATTATGGAGCGATACTCGGAGATCAGACAGGTATCTATTATGGAGCGAGACTCGGGGATCAGGCAGGTATCTATTATGGTGCGAGACTCGGGGATCAGGCAGGTATCTATTATGGAGCGAGACTCGGGGATCAGGCAGGTATCTATTATGGTGCGAGACTCGGGAATCAGACAGGTATATATTATGGAGCGAGAATTGGAGATCAAGTAGGTATCTATTATGGTGCGAGACTCGGGAATCAGACAGGTATCTATTATGGAGCGAGACTCGGGGATCAGGCAGGTATCTATTATGGTGCGAGACTCGGGAATCAGGCAGGTATATATTATGGAGCGAGACTCGGGGATCAGGCAGGTATCTGTTATGGAGCGAGACTCGGGAATCAGGCAGGTATCTATTATGGAGCGAGACTCGGGGATCAGACAGGTATCTATTATGGAGCGAGACTCGGGGATGAGGCGGTTATCTATTATAGAGCGAGACTAGAGGATCAGGCAGGTATTTGTTATGGAGCGAGACTCGGGAATCAGGTAGGTATCTAGTGTAGGGCGAGACTAGGGAATCAGGTAGGTATTTAGTGTAGGGCGAGACTCGAGAATCATGTAAGTATCTAGGGAATCTTATTTCTTATTTCAACTTGTATGATCGGCGTTATCGATACAGCTTTTCTGATAAGTAAAGGTAACAGAAACGGAATAGGAAGTCAATCATTTTCACGATTCTATTCTCGGTACAGTTTATCTAAGCTGTAGTATTTCATGAGAAACAAGAAATATGCATTCAGCTACGCATGAGGCATGGTGTTTAACAAAGTAGAAAAGAAAGACTTTAAAATGAATTAAATAATTCGAGGAATGGATACACAAGATGATCAAATGGTTGATACACTTTTCCATATTCCACCGATTTCAGTACTGGAGTGAAGAATGTCACGATGCGACCATAATATTGAATTAAAAGTACTTCCTCAAATGGTATTCAGCAATTTAGATAAAGTGTAGTTGAACAACTGATTTAGCCGCCATGATACGATTAGGTAATATATATATATATATAATATATATAACTGGTATTCAGAAGGATAACGAAAAAGACAAGATTCCTCAAATCTTTTTTTTCAAAGTCCACCGAGTATATCTAGTTATTTTAACAAGCAAGAAATAAATACTTCTTGGTGCACTGCCGGTAGATGTAACTACAAATTCATTATTCCAATGGTTGACTGGTTTTGATGTCGGTATTAGGGAATGCAGACTTAAAAAAGAGATAAATAAAAATTGATTTCCAGCTTCTGATATTTCTTACAATAATTAACCGACCTGATAGATTTAACCACACAGTCGTGTACCCTTTGCACAGTTTTGCCTTCCTCTGACGTAACCTTCAACAGATTCCATTAGAGAATCTCGTAGTTTTCCATTTTGGATAATGATGCGAATGACCTTGACTAAAAGGCTATCTAAAAGATAGTTGTGTAAAGTTGTAGACCAGGAATATCCTTAAAGAGGAGTTGGATCAAGGTCATTACATTGGAATTGTTGGAAGCAGCAGACCTACAGTTATAATAGGGAGGATCGTGGGCACTTTTGTGAGGAAAGCCATGAATAGACTTAGACTTGTAATGAAGTTGTTATTTAGTAACATTTATCTAATCATTCGTCGCCAGACTAGATTTAGTTATGTCGATTTGATCTGTTTCATCATCATCAATTGTTTTTATGAAGTCTCTAAACTGGTTTGCAAACCTCACTAAAACAACTTGAGTCTAACATGTTGAGTTGGTGACATAGAGAACACAATGGTTGTGTGGATCTGGTTGACACATAAAGGGTTCTGCTGAGAAGTCTAGAAGTCGCTAGACTTAACATTATATCATGTTTCATGGCAATGATAATGACATCGTCTTCGGTTAAATTTTAGGAATGAAATTGTTCCTGAACGTGACGAATTTCCTACAGAACACTATTTACTTTCAAACGACGTAGCAGAGCAAACAAGTCTCTCTTGTCAATCCCTTTTGTTAAAAGGACCAAGCTGAACACGGGTGTAGTGTCTCTCGCTGTCAATGACAGAACATACAGTCTAAAGCATTAAAAACTCTTTGTGTTTTAATGTAAATGTTACCTCTCTTGTGTATCTTGTGATAGGATGATGGTTTATATTCCTTAATCAATAGTTTATAAATATAATTGATCAAATATCGAAATCCTTGTTAAACACAACTCAAAACTTCTACAAAATAACATTAGTACACTCTGGGTATAACTTCAAAAGTGTAATACCGGGTATCTGAACATCTGTCCTCCTACCTCGCCACTCCTAATCTGTCATTCTTTTAATATATAATCAATATATGCTGTTAACATAAAAATAGTTTATTTCGATATCG